ACTCAGCTGCACATCTGGATGCACAGTCTAAAGAAAATGTATTTGCCAAACTTTGTTTGTCTTTTTTGGTTCTAGCAGGCATCATATCCACAACAAATTTAGAATTTTTAATAAACTTTCTATGGCTGGCCGAGAGATGCCGTGTATCGAGAAAAGTTTGTGGGGAAACATCCATATCACCTGCTTCATACATTTCAGAAAGAGCTGTGTGAGCTGCACTGTCAGCATCTGTTGTCAAAAATTCTACCTCAATTTGATCTTTCTTTAAGTCCCTGAAACACTCTGCAGCTAACTGTTTTTCATTACCAATTGATTCTGACATGTGCAAATCAGATGTGCAGTCTGGGTTGTTGACACAAGAAATGTTGTCAACTAAACTGTGCTTTGAACAGAGCTTTGATTTTGTTTTTAAAGCCAAAATTTGATGATCACTAGTTTGGTTCTCAGTGGCCACATAGGTTACCTGAGTGGCTGGCTGAAAAGGGGTTTTCCCAACACCTGAACAAAGTGGATTGTTGTACATTGCATCAGTTGATAAACTAATGTTATTTAAATTTGTTCCCCTGTATTTATTTATTTCCCTTATTTCCACCCTCCTGGCTCTCATATCCTTTGTGTTCTGAGATTTTATATTATCACAAACTCTGTTCGCAGCTTTCTGCATCCCTGAATGGGATGGTGGAGGTATATCGGCACTCATGCACAGGACACGGAAACTCTCACTTCCAATGGGACATTTTGAGAGGCCTATCTGAAGTCCAGTATTGGCAGTGGAAGATCGACGTCCCCTTCTCATTCCACTACCCTCTACCTCCTTGTACAGTTTATGGTACTCTGACAGGTATGTACAGTCAGTGCATTTAAGTCTCTCTATCCAGTTCAGTCCCCACTGCTGTTCATTGTCTATGTCCATGACAATGTCCCCCTTACACATAGGCGAAGTCTTGGCGTGCTGGCGGAATGCCTCATTGTACAGTTTGTCAGTCTCTCCAACATGCAACAGGTGGTAAACATCAGCAGCAGTCCTGCAGATTAAAGAAAACCCATTGACTACTTTGAAAACTTCTAAATAAGCCTTTTAAGTATGTGATAGTGTTCGACATTTCTGAATTATCTCCCCTGGCAGATCAAATGCATATTCTATTTCTATCCCCCTCAAGCCCTTAATTAGGGTGTAACAACACTGTTTTTTATATGGTATTGAACAAACCACTCATATATGTATTAGAATTTGATCCCTTGCTGTACCTAATAACTGAAAACTGTCCATTATATTAAACTTTTATTAAGTGATCTCGTTAAAGGACAAATACTTGAACTTGGTAAGTTTATCCACCCATATCATTTAGCAGTGAGCATCTTGTATTCCCTACAAGTATTTCAAAGTCTAGGCCAAAGGAATAAATAGTTTAAAGTGTTATTACCTTTCACTTTTTGTTTTCAGGGAACTCTTATCCTCCTCAGGGGTGTTTTCCTTCCTTGGCCTTAACAGACGGTACGGTTCACTTGTCAGTGTTTGAACTTGCTGGACACCAGCCACCCCTACACTGCACACTTTCTTGTGGAGCTCAGTTGTCAACCTGACAGTTTTTGGCACTTTAAAGTTGCTTTGCTTTTCACTGGTGAATTTTTTGCCTGAATTCCAAGCTTTATGTCCCATTCTAAAAGATGTTATCGAATTCCTTCGATGTCTCCCCATGTTTCAAGAGTAGGTTCAAGATGTTGACACTATGAATTTTTCTTTGGAATGAAAGCATCAACATTGGTTCTTGACCTCCCATAGTTAAAATACCAAATATGGACCTGTCATTTATATATTGGCCTATGTAAACAAGGCAGGGGTACCAGTTCCAGCAAGCTCACTGAGTCCAGCTTCTTTTATGACTTAAGCTTATTAGTGTCACAACCAAATTCCATGTTATGTACCAGACTTTGCTATCCTCAGTTGTTATCAGCAAAGGTCAGCAAACAACTCACCATTAATAAATTAAAAATATGAAAGCCTAATTTGTTTTGAATTTCCAAGTATTGTCTATCATACGGGGTCGAAAAGATACTTTTGGGGGGATATGTTCGAAGCAGCGTCTGGCAACCATGGAATTGACCTGTGAACCCATCCTTGTGTGAAACAAGAATAAACAATAAAGGCCTGTGTACTGTCATAGAAAGTTCTTTATTAAAACAGAAGTTCATTTTGTAATCAGTTGACAAAATCTAAATAATTTAACCCTCACAGCTCTTTTGGTACATCAGATATGTGTATATGGGTGTCATATAGACCTGTCAGATAGGAAAAAGTATTGAACTTGAAACAATTTCCATTTGTTTCCAAGAAGCTACATCTATTTACAATGAATACATCACAAATTTGACAAGTGCAGTTTTAGACAGTTGTGTCTACAGGTTCTACTACACTAAATCAGAACTGGTTGTGACAGTGCGGTTTTCGTAGGGAGCCTTCAGTACAGATCAAGAGACATATGCAGGCTGTGATTGGATGATATTGTGTAAGATTTTTATGTCTTTTAAATGCACATCCATCCAGTAATTAAAACTGCCCATATTTTTCAATATTTGGTGCTGACTTTTTGAACAAGATGACTTGTGCTTTATGTGAGCACAGATATTTTCAAGCAGGTGATATTTGGTGCGGAACTGGGGTTGGTGTGTTCAGCTTCCTGTACTCGGAAAAGGAGCTGGGTAACCTAGCCAAAATTTGTGTTTTTATTGCAGCTTTAAGGCCAGACTGTGCAGATATGTAAATGTTATGGCTGTTGAATGCCTAGTTATTTTTTAAAAAGCTATAACGTTACTATAGAAGTCTATGGGAAAACATTTGGTTGTGTGTAACCTGTAGGATCATTTTTACTGTTGCCTTTGAGCAAAGCGCCTTCTGTATAACGAAGGTAGAAATGCTTCTATTGGTCTTAACAGATAAAAGACTTAGGTGCAGACACCCTTGTTCTCCTATCATTCTGGAGAGACTATCGTGGTACCTCAATTTGTGACTAAGACTTTCAATTTGTTGGACAGGTCACCATTACGCTGGCGACACTACATAATCTTAGGTAATCGTTAAACACTGTATACAGTACGAATCTAACATGGCACACTGAAGGATGGCCTATCTGTCACACACATGATGTATCCATCCCACTAAAACGAGTGAGTGAGTATGTTTTTACGCCGTTGTTAGCAATATTTCAGCAATATCACGGCGGGGGACACGCCATGTAAAGTTACCCATGTCGGGAATCGAACCCGGGTGACGAGCAAACGCATCAACCACTAGGCTACACCCCCCCCCCCCCCCCCCCCCCCCTCCCTCTCCCCGAATGAAACGAACCATTTTTACTGAGACTATCGTAGATACTATGTCATAGAAACCAAGGACAACTAGGGACATTTACAGGTCACAACGATACCTCGAATGATAAGTGACTGTTAAACAAAGACTTTGTCACTCCAAGATAACACCCACGCCATGTAAGATTAAATACATTCTACTCAAAGAAAGTTAAGGAACACCCAATTCTTTGATATAACTTTAGTTAGCCTGAGTAGTATAGGATTGTACTAAAATTTCCTTAAAATATCACAAGAAAAAAACACAAACCTTCGTATATACTACTCAAAAGAAGTTAGGGAACACTGATATGTTTGCACTTAAAATAAAAAAGGAACAGATGACGACGACATGTGTAGTAAATTTAATAATGACCGAGTATACAGTAAGAAAGAATCATGAACAATCCACTACATTTCTTAACGTGAACAAGTGTTGATGTCAATAATGTCACTGGGGTCAAAATTGGAAATCCAGGCCATGAGAGAAAAGTCAGTAACGAGGGTGTCCGCCCCTTGCAGCCACCTCATGGATGTCACTAATGTCTGTAGTGTGTTCTGTGGGATAGCATGCCACTCCAAACTCAGCTATTGAGCAAGCTGGCGCAGATCTTGAGGTGGAGGGTGGTTCTCCCTAACACGTCTCGTTAACAGATCCCATACGTGTTCAATGGGTGCCATATCAGGAGAATATGCTGGCCATTCCATGCGAGTAACATTGTTTTGTCCCAGAAAGTCAGTGACTATGCGTGCACGATGAGGTCTAGCATTGTCATCCTGGAAAACCGCCTGTGGACCTATTCGATGAAGATAAGGAATTACCATTGGTCTCAGAATCTCATCCCTGCAGCGAACAGCATTCAAATTCCCGTTGATGACGTACAGATTGGTTCTGTGATGAAATGAGAAGGCGGCCCACACCATGACCTGCCTTTATCAACCCAAATTTCGCACACAAACTCCTTGTGGCTCGTGCTTCATGAGAATAAGTAAGCAAATGCACGATCTCCATTTTTACGGCAGCTATGAGGAGGAGATTACAACAACAAAATTCCATGAAAATGAGTGCTGGTCAAAATGAACGCTGACGAGTCCAGTATGATTCAAAGTCTTTGTTCTGGTCATGAAGTCACTTGAGTAAGGATCGTCTTCAATATCAGTACGTTAGCCGCCGATCAGGAGGCCATTTACCAAATTTAAAAGCAATCGAATGAACAGTGCTACAAAATATCAGTGTTCCCTAAATTGTTTTGACGAGCATATTGTAAATGGCAGAGGTATTCAAACCAAACTCTTAATTCCCATCCATGATACAAAAACAGAGCTCATTAAATAAAGCACACGGCTCTTAGTTAATAGCGTGTTGTTCACTCTAAATCGTGAACATAATTGAAATGCTACGGACATCGCAATTCATGAAAAAAACTTCGTTGTTACAGCGTTATACAAAAAGTACGATAATCGAAGCAACATGCATAATTATCTGGGCTTCGATTTTACCTCCACCCAAGCATGAACTTTGAAACCAGAACGTATCTACATCTTAAATGCTCTTAAACGCACGAAAATGATAACGTGTTCAGTACGTTTTAGTATTAAGATAGCGCCCTTACATAAGTGCAACACATGGTACTTCACACATATGCCAGAAATACGTTAAAAGCCACAGGAATATTAGACCAGTAGCATTTGCACCGTCAATATGGCAGCTTGCATGTTTCTGCTGATCGGCCTCCTGGTTTCAGTGGCGTTAGCAGGACCGCAACCTACAATCAAATTACACGAGGCAGAAAAGAACACTTTGGCTGTTTCCTTTCCTGGTAAGCACATTCAGTTATACGTTATTAGATTTTACAGATAGAAATAAATTAATGCAGGAAAGAAGGCCCTGGTGATCCTGGCACAGTCAGGCTGGTTAGGCTCATCATCAGCTCAGGGCCTTTGTCCCCTCCACAGGCTGACCAGACAGCGAATGGGACTTCTCCCAGGAAGCGCTGCCTAGTCGAACCCATCCAGAACTTTTCGGAGAATGTGAAGACTCCCCAAAACTGCAGCCTTCTGCATTACCCAGATTGACATAAGGGCTGGGTTCCTGGCAGCAAACCTGGGTACTCTCCACTTGTCAGTCAAAGGATTTAAGGGTACAACATCTAAGGCACCGAGAACAACGGGGAGTCGGAAAACGTGGTACGTGGGATGCAAGTGTGACATTTCTTAAGCGAGGTTCTGATATGTGCCATGTTGAATCTTGTCAATCACAATACTGTCAAAAGGGACAGAGAAATCTATTACATAAATAATTGTCAAGGCCAGGTTGGCCTGGAGGTTGTTGGGTTGTTGTTCCTCTCAACACACTGCACATAAACTCGACACAGTGGTCGTGGTCGTTCAGAGAGCCTTCCTTTGAAGGACCGAGCCTGTATCGATTTGATATGGCACTTCGCTTGGTTGACACTCATTTCTGTACCGTGCAGCAGTACAGAACCATCATCACATTCAACACTGACATTGAGATCATGTCTAACATCCTTGGTTCGTTCACGCAAACCTTGTATTCATCGTGAATCTTGACATGCTTCACAAGAGGATCATTAGATCAGATCATCAATATTACAAAATCGCAAATAATATTGAATAGCTTTCGGCCATGGGAACCGTGCCATTTACACTTGTCAGAGCGGTACTCAAAGTACGTGATCTAGACTACCAGTTGTCGGACTTTCATTTTTGTGGAAGCCTCGGAGGCTGAGTGGGTTAGATCGCTGACTTTGTGTGCTGGCGACTAGGTGCCTCACTCTGGCAAGTTTGGGTTCGAATCACGGACGGGATTCAACCCCCCAAAAAGTACGAGAATCTGTACTTTACTAAGAAAGTGTTATCCCAAATATAACATTTGTTAATATTGATCCTGTTTCATTGACAGATGTACCAGGTGTAAATGCCATTGAGTTCAAGTATGCTATTCATCAACCAACGGGACATTTGCCACGCGTGACGGACACTGTTACAGTTCGTAGAAACGGTGAGTTTAATCTCGCACAGATAACAGAATAATCCTAAATATGTGTTAGTTTTGGACATATAAAGTGGCTCAGGCTTTTCGTCGTTTTGAGCAGTAGTCGATGATTTACTTTACACATTTGCATCGAGGGTACAGAAGCGCAGAAATTATAGGCGTGACGAGCAAATGTCTCTTCTACCAAGAGATTAGTCCGGACTAGCAGCCACACACACACACACACACACACACACACACACACACACACACACACACACAAACACCCACTCTCTCTCTCTCACAAACATACACACACACACACACACACACGAACTCACTGTCACGCACACTCACTCTCCCACATGTACACAGACACACTCACACACACTCTCTCTCGCTCACACACACGCTCTCTCTCACACACACACTATCACACACACTCACACACACTGTCTCTCTCTCACACACACATTCACTCTCTCTCTCACACACACGCTCACTCGCTCACACACACACCCGAAAAACTATCAGACCATTAACGGACTACTGTTGTATTATTGTGTTATTTTCTCCAATGTTATGTTTGTTGATGATTATATAAGTAGTAAGTGGAGTTATTTTTGTTGACAAAGATATAGGAATTGATTTATGTATGGTTTGTTTTTGGTTTATGAAGTTAATGTTAAACCCGGTGTGCACACTTGGCGTAAATCCGCTTCGCAGATGTACACAGTGCGTTCACTGATTTTCACGTTTATAAAACGCAAAAAATAAGGAAGTCAATTCTTAAGTTAATAACATTACAAATATGTCTTCATGATATGCGAGTAATACATTGTTCCCATCCAATGAACGCTGAAGACAGCAGTTAGTGTTACCATCAAATGAACGCTGAAAGCAGCTGTCAGTGTTACTATCCAATGAACGCTGAAGACAGCAGTTAGTGTTACCATCTGATGAGCGCTAAAGGCAGCAGTCAGTGGTACCATCTGATGACAATCAATGTCATAATCGACCTGTATGACTGTGCCCGCATTAGGTTGTTTTATCATTTGAAAGGCCAGCTTCTACATGCATGTTCCAATATAATGTAGATATATGTATGTCGCATTCACGTTTCAATTACAGATATTTATCTTTGTAACTGTTCTCGTCACTATAATATCATGACTGACACACTGCCGATGTAAAGTTAAATTATACCTCACTCACTCACCCACTCACTCACTCACTCACTCACTCACTCACTCACTCACTCACCAACTTATTCCATGATATATGCCCATATTTCAGCTGCTGGACACTTCAAGTGTGAGGTCGAAAGCAAACATGCCTTCACTGATAAGGAAGCGATTGAATATTCAGTGAAATATTTATCTGCTAGTGGCGATGTTGTATACCATGTAGACGGTGTCTTCACTATTCCAGGTATGTCCATATTTCATAGTCACATTGATCATATACATTAAGTAAATCTTTAGATATTTGAAATGGTTTGAAAGTAACATGATTAATGAAGCACACATTGATATGGAGAACCGTTTGCTACAAGAACATACTTAACTCCTTTGTTTGTTACTGTCTGTTCGTTAACGTCTCACTCAGCAATATTCCAGCTGTATGACGGCGGTATGTAAATAATCGAATCTTAACCGGACAATCCAATGTTTGAAATCATTTGAGCATCGATCTACGCAACTTGGATACGACGACATGCATCAACCATGTCCGTTCGCTCGTCACGCCGAAGACCCGGGTTCGATTCCCGACATGGGTACAATGTGTGAAGCCCATTTCTGGTGCCCCCCGCCGTGATATTGCTGGAATATTGCTAAAAGCGGCGTAAAACCCCACTCACTCACTCACTCAACCAAGTCAGCGAGCGTGACAACCCGATTTCTTCTGAAAAGCATGTGTTGCTGAAGATCCAGGTTCTTACGGGGGATTTAATTAGTAGCACCGACAAGAACTCGCTTAACAAATAACAAATGTTGACATGAAATAAACCTGTATGACAAGTATGATATACCCACGCCTTAATGACAGTATTACATACCCCTACAGCTGCCTCATCACTTAGCCCACGGCTATACCGTCGTGGTAACACCGTCTTTGAGGACTCGTTCAACTCGCACCAACTCAATCCTAACCATTGGCACCATGAAATAACATGTTGGGGAGGAGGGGTAAGATTCAAGACGAGCGAGTATGTTGGGTTTAACGCCGCTTTTACCAGTTTTACAGTTATATCATGGCGTGTCAGCTTCATGTCGGAGAAAAGCCCGAAGTGATGCAGGTCTTAGCGGTTTACCACTTCGGTAAAACCTAGAAACATAACAGGGGCGAACCGGGATTCGAACCCACAATCATAGGTTTCTGGCGTGCCCAAGGGACGCAACGACTGGGCCACCCGTGACCCCGATTGAAGTCGACATTTTCCTTTATAGTTCATCTCAAATCCATCAACTAGAGCCATGATTTTCCTTTGATGGGACATTTGGTTGTCAACAAGATAATCTTCATGTAAGACCTGAGCAGTCACGTGCCAAATATTAAGCTATATATTATTAATTTGTGTTTCAGTTTTGCATGATTCCTTTTTTTATTATGATTATGATTATAATTATTAGAATGGAGAGTTCCAGATGTATACACCTGAAGCTGCCAACACGTACATCAAGAATGGCGTTCTCTACCTCAAACCGGTAATATATTTAAGATGTCTTGATAACATAAATGAACTACATAACCGTATCTTTTATAGACATAAAACGAGAAGCGAATGGCATATTCTGTTACTTTATCAATTTATTATACAGACATTCACTGCTGACAAGTTTGGAGACGATTTCTTTCAACACGGCGTCCTTGACGTTAAACGTATGTATACTACATCACTACCTTTGTAATGCAAGTAAAACTTGATTTATTCTATATACTTCTTTTCTAACTAATCAAACGTAAAGAAACCTTCATATGTTTTACTCCTGGTGAAATTAAAAATTAAGAAATGCAGGAATGCAAACAGTAACACCCAAAACTGTATTAATCTAGTTATTATCGTTGGGCTATTATTCTTATTTACATATTAAAATAAAAATGCAACAAAGAGAATTTGGGTGATCCTGGCACAGTCAGGCTGGTTAGGTTTATCATCATTTTAGGGCCCTTGCCCCCTCTACACGCATCCCGGACAGCAAATGGGACCATCCCAGAATGTTTCGGAGAATGTGAAAACTCCCCAACACTACAGCCTTCTGATTTAGCCAGATTGTCAGAAGGGCTGTATTCCTGGTAGCGAAACCGTGTACTCTCCCAATGTCAGTCAACAGACTGGGAGGTACCAAAGTTGTGAGTCATTTTAACCTTAGGTACCGAGAACAAAGGGGAGTCGGACAATTTGGTCCTTGGGATGCAAGCATGACATTTCCAAAGGAAGGTCTACATATTTGCCATGTTTTGCATGAATCTTGTCAATCACATTGGCGTCAAAGGGGACATAAAATTCAATGATATTAATGATTTCACTGGATTAATCAAATAGGACAAGATCAGGTTTGTTGGCCGGGATACGTCTGAGGCTGTATACGGGCCTACTCCATAGAATTTCGTTTTTATGATTTTCCATGACGCCCTCTACATGTTCTGGGTCGTACCATGGACCTCAGAGTCAAAACCAAGCATAATTCAGCTGAAAAATGTTTCTAGACACTGGTTTTGGTTACCTTGTAATCGATCGATCTGAACCAATGCTGACTTGTTTTTAAAACTTATTATACCAACATTCTTTTCCCCATCCCCATGGTCATTTCGTACTCGGAACCTATAGATAGAGCAGACTGTGTTCTCGTTAACCGAACGATGACTTTATTGCATGTTTCTGTATGCTAAACAACAGAACAACTCGAAACGTCATATGTTTTAGCACCTCTTCAGCAGAATAACAACCTAAGCCATATGATGCTATTTTTTCTATAAGAAGAGTTGAGATTTGACTTATGTTTTTAAATATCTTCTCCATGACAGAATAGCAGACTGTGGCATATGTCTCTGTCACAAGGCCCCGTTCCACAAAACAAACTCAGCTACCTTAAGAGTTAACCTTAACCTTAACCACTGAGTTAGACGATGGTGGTACGGGACAACTCCACCCTAGACTAGCTCCAGCTCCTGAGCTTCCTTGGGGTGGTCCCGTACCCCCATCGTATATTCTATTTCTTAGTCTGGCGTTACACCCGTCTTATTCAGTAAGCTTATCTCGATGTTAACTTTACCCAAAACGTGATGTCATTTATTGGTAAGTTTTGTGATTATCCATGCCTCTGAAATTATGCTATTCTTACAGAAACCACTGTAATGAATAGCACATGTTCTAAAAGAAAACACACTCTCTATGTCTATTTTCTAACAGACAGCACATTTAACCGAGGGGCTTTATGTCCTAAGATACACCACACCTATCCGTATGTCTCTATGTCCTAACAGACACCACACATATCCGTATGTCTCTATGTCCTAACAGACACCACACCTATCCGTATGTCTCTATGTCCTAACAGACACCACACCTATCCGTATGTCTCTATATCCTAACAGACACCACACCTATCCGTTTGTCTCCATGTTCTAATAGACACCACACCTATCCGTATGTCTCCATGCCCTAACAGACACCACACCTATCCGTATGTCTCTATGTCCTAACAGACACCACACCTATCCGTATGTCTCCATATCCTAACAAACACCACACCTATCCGTATGTCTCTATGTCCTAACAGACACCACACCTATCGGTATGTCTCTATGTCCTAACAGACACCACACCTATACGTATGTCTCTATGTCCTAACAAAAAACACACCTATCCGTATGTCTCTATGTCCTAACAGACACTACACCTATCCGTATGTCTCCATGTCCCTAAAGACACCACACCTATCCGTATGTCTCTATGTCCTAACAGACACCACACCTATCCGTATGTCTCCATGTCCCTAAATACACCACACCTATCTGTACGTCTCCTTGTCCTAACAGAAACCACACCTATCCGTATGTCTCTATGTCCTAACAGACACCACACCTATCCGTATGTCTCCATGTCCTAATAGACATGACACCTATCCGTATGTCTCTATGTCCTAACAGACACCACACCTATCCGTATGTCTCCATGTCCCTAAAGACACCACACCTATCCGTATGTCTCCATGTCCCAACGGACACTGCACTTGACAGTTTGGCTCTATATAATCTATTACAGAACAATGGGGATCATGCACAGCGGCGGAAGACAATGGTTGTCGTCGTCAGGGAGCTCAGATTCCACCAATTATGTCATCTAAGGTGTTTTCTGTAGCCTCAATCACACATGGACGGGTTGAGGTTGTGGCGAAGATTCCCAAGGGAGATTGGATCTGGCCAGGTGCGTCCTCTGTGTCCAATGCAATTACATATTGTGTAACGCATAGTAAGGGAACGACCATCAGAGGAGGGGTTGGGGGAGTGGGGGAAGGGGGAGGGAGGAGGTTGGTGGTGGCTCGGATTTTGTGTCAATATTAGTTATTTTTTTCAACTAGAGCTACAAAACCAGATCTATTTTTTATTTAAACCTTGAGCCTGAATTTTATTGAAATAAAACCACATTGCAAGAATGTGATGTTCATGGCAGGCAATTTCCTTTTGCCTCAGCATAATTATATTTTTCAAGAATTTTCGGGGACAATCATTTTATCGATAAAATCCCAGGTTCCCTCAAAAATACGAAATGGTCCTTTGAAGGAGGATATCATGTGAGTAAAACTGTTTGATTTATCATCGAATTCCATATGATGATGGTGCCACCCGTATATGGCATGCGCCTAAAATACATATGTCAAACGTGGCATGTTGAACACCGGGTGTCATCTCTTTTTGGCAGTGATCCATTCATATTATTGTCATCATTATTTTGCCTTTTGCGCCCTATGGAATTTGTTTCGCGACTGACTATTCTCAGGCGTTGATGTTTTACATTTATGACTTACGCAAATGATTCCACTGGAGCATTACATATAAATATACTTTCATTGTGGACATTGCAATAATGAACATTCCGAACTTATAGATATCCAGTTCATATTTTGATTTAAATGTTGTAGCAATCTGGCTGCTTCCTCCCGGCTGGCCTTGGAAATATGGTGCCTGGCCAGCTTCCGGTGAGATCGACATTATGGAATCAAGAGGTATGTGTTCCATCATTGAGTGAGTAAGTTGGGAGCATTTTAATTAAGTGGGGACGCAGTGTGCTGGGATTCCTTTTTTCAAAAAAAAAAATGAAAAGCAATATTTGTTTCGAAAAGAAATGAAAAAAACGTGTTTGCCAAGTTTCACCACATTTGCCAATAACCTGTTCATGATCACTGGACATACTGGATGTCGCGGTGAAACAAATGTGAAACAGAATGTGAAACGAGGCGGCGGGTAGCCTAGTGGTTAAAGCAATCGCTTGTAACGCCGAAGATCCGGGTTCTATTCCCCTCATGGGTACAACGTGTGAAACCCATTCTGGTGTCCCCGCTGTGATATTGTTAGGAAATAGTTATAGTGGTGTAAAACCATACTCACTCACTCATTATGTGGAACATTTGGCGCTTTAATTTGTTAAACCAACGAGCATGGGGATTATGGTTATAGACCAAACAACTCGGGAATAATATGCATGTTAAAACATATCAACGCTATTAGAATTGTTAGAATAGTTCAAAATTAACTATTACAGTGACTCGTGTTGAAAATATTAGAAATATTAGAATAACCCTCCTTTGAAATATACCCCAATCCGTCTACGCTAACACATGCATCTATGATTTCATACAAAGGCAACGTCCATTTGAGAGAGTCTAACGGTGCCACCCAGGGCGTTGACCGTGTCTTGTCTACAATTCATTACGGAGCGTCGCCAAGTCAACACAGACAGCAAGGAGATTCAAAGTAATACAACCGTTATCATAAACTATCCACCCGTGAAGATCCGTGAATTATCGCTCTTCAGCAGCCCATGCTTGTAGTAGGAGGCGACTTACCGGATCAGGTGGTCGGGCCTATTGACTCAGCGGGGCGGTCGGGTAGCCCAGTGGTTAAAGCGTTCGCTCGTCACGCCGAAGACCCGGGTTCGATTCCCGACATGGGTACAATGTGTGAAGCCCATTTCTGGTGTCCCCCGCCGTGATATTGCTGGAATATCGCTAAAAGCGGCGTAAAACCATACTCACTCACTCACTATTGACTCAGCTGATGAATGTCATCGTATCCCAATGGCTTGGATCGATGCTTATGATATCAATCACTGGATTGTCTGATCCATACTTTCCTGTTCACCGGCTGCCTTCATACAGCTGGAATATTGCTAAGTGTGGCGTTAAACAACAAACAAACATGAACTGGCAATGTTCATGAGTGTTACTATGGAACATCAATAACTTGATATTAATATTAAACCTTCAGACCAGGTCTCGACAAGCATTCCGAATGTCAGTACATGTGCAGCAATTATGAACATCCTAAATTTTAGGACACAACTACGTGTTGCTGAGGCAGGGTGAAGATGATGTTTCAGGAAATGAACATTAAACGTGGACACGTGGAAACCTGAACCAAATGACATGCATGCAGATACAACGCCATTTTAATCACGAATGACGTTAGAGTGATATGTCGGTAGCTGTTGAGTCGTACGAATGTCACATTCTCTATCTCACTTCCACACACTCCGTGAGGATTCCAGGTTAGGAAACATTCCCATCAACCTGTGCTGGTCGTTCGAGCCGACTTGATGAGCCGGTGATCAGGCTCGGCGGTGTGGATCGGTGTTCGTAATGTCAATAAATGGATGTTCTGGTCAAGACTCGATTATTCACATATGCTGTCATATAGCTGGAATACTGCGGTGTGCAGCGTTAACACAACATTAAACAAACAGACACACTTTCATAAAGGACAATGTGTTTTACAGAACAAGCAAAACCGGAACAACTTGGGCAGATTCTTTTCACACTTACTCAGTGGACTGGACAGCTGGACATATCAGGTAACATACACGTAGTCATCAAAATGAGGTCTTTTATAAATGTGTATACTACTTATTACCAACGTTGCCCTTGAATACTGCACGTTTAAGTCAACGCACACCAGTGAAAACGTTCAATACCGAGACTTACTTTTCAGAAATTGAGAAAAGAGATATTTTCATTGCAGTGAACGTTACCCTTTATATTTCACCGCGGTGAACATAACACTTGATATTTCACTGCAATGAACATAACACTTTGAATGTACTTTTGTCTTATACGAGTTATGTCCCCGAAAATTCTCTCCCTTTAGCTTAAGTGTCTATCCCGTACCCAATCTGTTGACTTCATTTTTACGTTAGTTCCACATTGACAAGGCACACTAATGACAGATGGTCATTTATTGAGTTAATATCGCTTCTTGTTCTTTGTTAGTCTCTTGAAAATGTTTGGTTATTAACTGTAAATTTCTCATTTAACTTGTCAATTCGCAAAGCACCATGTATATATGTTGTAAATATGCTTATAACGAACTACGGTTTTAACGAACTAAATTTAGTGGTCCCTTTGGTCCCTGTATATTAAACACGTTTTCTTATAAGGATGGACATAGACAACCAGCCAGTCATGGCCTGGACGACGCCTTCTCAAGGCTACTGGTCATACAGCCACCAATCTGGTACCAATGTCTGGTCTCAGGGCGGTAACGATGCACCCTTTGATGGGAAGGTAAAGAAACTGGATTTCATCTGACCACATGGTTTTCCATGACTAAGCGAGCGTATGTGCGCTATTTCACGACATGTCAGCTTGATGTTTGAGGAAAGCTGGATGGTATTGACAAAAACTATTGTTGCTGTCCTGTCCTGGTTCTGGAGTTGTTGCCCCTGGGCGTCCAGAGCGACGTAGATCATCGACGTTATGTGTTTGCCGGTGTCGGGCCCCCAATCTGCTGACAGATTGCGAAACATGCAGCGTTTTGGCAACACGATGCTGACGTGTACCCACTAGCAACATGCATATTGCACGTAAACGTTTAGCACGGTGCAAACGTCGCATGAGCAATGCTGTTGCTCCTTGAATAATTAAACGTGTTTTATGAAGTGAGCTTGAGCTTTCGGTTCCAAGAAAACAATATGCGTCTGTTCACAACCGCGCCAAGGTGACAATGGTAAATCTGGCATACCACCCATTGCACGTGCTGTTCGATTTCACGTGCTTCATGACTGTCAAATTGTTAATATGTTTGGGACCTTCCCCTATTATTTTTGCATAGTATCTAACTGGAATTGTGATGACTGTGGCGTTCACTTACTCACTCTCTCGTGTTACAGATGAGCCTCATTCTGAATGTTGCTGTAGGTGGTACCAATAACTACTTCCTGGACTCCTGGCATAATACGCCTCATGCAAAACCATGGAAGAACAACTCACCGACCGCCATGATGGACTTCTGGAAGAGCAAACAGCAGTGGCAGTCAACGTGGCACGGGGAAGACGTCGCCATGAAGGTCAAGTCCGTCAAGATGATACAGTATTAGTAACAGAAGCTTGGGAAAGGAATATTGGAATAAAGATATATGTCTGTCTTTGTTTATGACAACGAATAAAACTAAGATTACAATATACACAAGAAACAATTATGGTTATACTTACGGTTTTGTAATCCCTTGAGGCAATGCATACAAACAGGACAGAAACCTCTTCCGTAATAATAAGAGGGGCGGTCGGGTAGCCTAGTGGTTGAAGCGTTCGCTCGTCACGCCCAAGACCCGGGTTCGATTCGACCATGGGTACAATGTGTGAAGCCCATTTCTGGTGTCCCCCGCCGTGATATTGCTGGAATATTGCTAAAAGCGGCGTAAAACCATACACACTCACTCACTCACTCGTGATAATAAGAAATATCTGCCAAAAGCCATTGAACGAATCCGACTGCATCACCACCATGTGTTTATGAATTGCCATCAAGTAGTGTTGACGCCAAGTGTCCACAAAAATATGAACGAACCACCTACTCCTTGCAGACCATGTTTTATTCAACTTGTTTTATTAGTCCCCTTTTATTAATGCCGAGCTCCCGGCAGAGGAACAAAAAGTACAACATTTTAACATGTATGACGCGGTCGTGGATCGAACTACCTACCTTCCACACTCCGGGCAGACGCTCTTTCCACTACACCACGGGAGAGGTCGACAATAAAGGGCCTTGACAGAAGGTAACGTAAGTTGCAAGTTTAAACTCAAGGACAAATGTATGACGTGTCATGGATAAATATAAACTAAATGCAAGACAACCACCAGCCAAAACAGATTCCATTTGGCGTGAAGGGCAACACAGCTGAATTGTTTGATATCATTACTTAGAAGTTGACGGATGACAAAGTAGACACAATCTATGGATAACAACTTCTTAATACTGTATAGGCGGCGTTTCGGTATAGATCCTTATACCGTTGTCAAGCAAGACTAAGTTTCTTGACTCGATATAAGGATCTGTACCGAAACTTCGCCTTTACAGTATTAAAGAAGTTGTGATCCATAAATTATGTCTACTTTGGCAACATAACTGTGAAAATTATATGAATGGACAAATGACAAATTAGAGATGACACCGGATGCCCGCGAAAAGGGAAAGCATGCACTACTCTACCAGTACCACCAGGTATTTTCACAATTTGCATAAAAAGTAAGCATGTGTTGCCAGACTCCGTACAGCAGTAAACCTGCCATGCGACGGCGACCTGTAAAATTATGTTTCCTGTGTTCAAGACGAACAAAATGCGAATAAATAAAAATTAATGACATATCATTTAATATACTTGTGAAGCATGGTCAAGATACGAGTGAGTGAGTTGAGTGAGTGACGCTAATTGTTGATTTGCTCGTGTTAGATCTATTCGTTTTGTTTCGACTTCGCTCATTGTTGGCGATGTTTTTCTTGAACGAAAAAAATGATGTCGTGGCTTTCATTGTTGAACAGATTGGTGGTTGATCAGGTTGATACATACATGAATGGAGAACTTGTCTGTATATGAGTGAGTGAGTGAGTGAGTGAGTTGGGTTTAACGCCGCTTTTAACATTATTCAGTTATATCACGGCGCGTCAGCTCAATGTGGGAGGAAAGCCGGAAGAGATGGTGGTCTCAGACGTTTACCACTTCGGTGAAACCCACGAGCACGGGCATGGTGCTGACAAACCTAGAAACATAATCGGGGCGAACCGGGATTCGAACCCACAATCATAGGCTTCTGGCGTGCCAAAGGGACGCGCCTTAGACGAATGGGCCAACCGTGCCCCCATCAAGATACGATATCAATGAACACGTACAGATGTATTACCGTATAATATCTTAATTATACTTATTTTTAATTATTAATTGTAACTCGTTGAAGTATCGGTCTGATATAATGACATCTTGATGACCGATCAAGCTGATGGTGAATGTAGAGATTCAGAATAATACTTAATGTTAGCGTACTACACCAACTTTCATTAGTAAATAAATAATTCATGGCTTTATTAATCACCTACTCGTTTGGTTGTTATTATAAATACTTATGCAATGTAAATCCATTTAAATAAAAACATATATCAGTATCCATCACATATAAGGAAAAGTACGTTAATCCTCTTTTGAAAATAAGCCTTCTTCCTCGTTAATGACGTCAGCGTATTTCGTTCAGAAATGGTTTGTGAGTTGGTTTAATTCATTTATATCACGGCGTGTTGGTTTGATGCGGTGTTAGAAGTTTACTAATTTGGTGGGAAAATGTGGGACTCGAACCCATAATCATAGGATTCAAAAATGGCGAGATGTCTGGGCCACCCATGCACCCGATCTTAAGAAGGTAACCGTGCAGCCACTACTCTGACGACCCAAGTAAGTTTGCGGTGACTGATTTCGTAACTCGTTTATTAAAATGTATGCATCCTCTATATTTCCAAGGCTCGCATTTCGATAAACCTACACTAACGTCTGGATCCTTTCCCGAGGTTCTCGCGATCTCAGATTATTCGCCCTTGATTTTCATTAACATTTTACAGACCAATGAAACGTCGAGATAACGAGAAAGGAAATAGTTAAGGCGGGACTTGCCCCCACCAGTTTGAATTTACATTAGGACATCCTTTCCACCAAAGAGATTTTTGTGGCTTTCTTTTGCGTGACAGTCAGTTTTTCAATGTTGAATTTCTCGCAAACTCCAACGTTATCAGTGGGACCAATCCGCCATGTTGTTGATAACCGTACATTGAGGCTGGTTTGTAACTCGCCTTCCGATTGGTCCCCTAGACTGAGTATCTGTTCCCAATCATTCGTCACCACTCGCCCCTTCCCGTAACCTGCAAGAAGACTCGTCCTCCTATCGATGAATGTTATGTGCGAAAATACGACAAACCAATCAGAATGAGCGTATGATTTCGAGTTCTTTGTCAAATAATCCCACAGAAATATTTTTTGATTTTACATATGTCTTGCACCTAAAAATATACCCAAGACACAGTTAAATATGTTCAATCATACTGTATGATTCCGCACGTCCCGATGTGCTTTAAATTGTATCTGAAATGTATATAGTATATGGGGAAATATATGTGAACCATTACGCAACAAGTTGACAATTGTTTTAGGTATGCCCGTTTGCGCTAAGACGGAACCCAGTCGCAAAAATGTCCATGAGAGGGGCACGAGTCGCTATTCGGCTTGTCCCGGAATAACACGAGTTGGTCACGAATGGTTCCCAATCAAACTGGCTGAAGGAAATCAAGGGCGGGCAAATAGCGAGCACCACGGAAATGGATCCAGGGGTTATTGTAGGTTTACCGAAATGCGAACCCTTGATATAGAGAGAAAGAAACTTCTGGGGACAATGAACTGTAGCGAGTCATCTGCAGTTCAAGACAAGCAGGGTGCCAATTTGGATTCTCATTAAGGATGTAAGTCAATCTGTCTACAAAATGAAGCAATACAGCCGAGAATCGGACGAAATGTCAATCGTCCAAATTAAAGTATGGCTTGTATCTCAAACAAAGAGCGAATTAATACTAAAAAAACGATATGTCGTCAACTGCTTATGGCAAAAGTGAATGGGTGTGAACGTTACGTTCTGTGAAACATGCCACCTCGTTTCGTGACGTCATAGCACTGTATGTCAATGGAATGTCGCCGGACGTTAGAAATACGTTTATGTGCATGTTTTCTAACCATTTCCTCGAAAATAAGCTTACAAAAATTATGATACTCATTCATGTATTTTTACTGTTAACACATTTAAATACAAATAAATACTTTTAATCATACTGTAATGCAAAACCGTCTACACGATGAGTAAGTTTTGTTTGTTATTTAACGCCGCTTTCAGCAATATTCAACCTATATGACGGCGGTCTGTAAATAATCGAGTCTGGACCAGACAATCAAGTGATTAATATCATGAGTATCGATCCACGTAATTGGGATCGATGACATGCATCAACCAAGACAGCGAGCCTGACCACCCGATCCCGTTAGACGCTCTTACGACAAGCAGAGCCGCCTTTTACGGCAAGCATGGGTTGCTGAAGACCTATTTTACCCCGGATCTTCACTGGCCACAGACTATAAGTAAGCCTCTGTGCTCAACGTGAAGTGCGAGGGTAGTTATTAATGGCACCTAACGGAATAGACTGCACTGTTACTCCGTGAAAAGCTAAATTCAAATATTCCTAGATTATTTAACAAAACGACCTTACAATAATTTAAATATTCTGCATATATGCCACTATTAATACATTTATATGTACATGTACATGCACAGGTTTACAAAAACAGATTTTACATTTGATGAAAATACCTGTGTAAAGTTATGACCACGGTTTTGTCGTTCCGTGTCAGCAAAGGACACCTGCTGATAAGGCCGTTGAACCAATACAAAACTAAGCAAACGTCCTACAAACCTTATTGATAACACGCTGTTCCAAGAAGACAATGGACACAATAACATATGTAGTTCTCAGTGTTTGCCTGTGTTTATGTTCAGCATTTCCACAACCTGAGATAAAGATAGATGCTGCACACCGTAACCAACTCTCCATCAGAATTCCAGGTACGATATCGTTAAAAGTTTGTCCTTTACAAGTAGAGTAAATCCGCTGTTTGAAAATCAAATACAAAATGACAATCTGGAACATGTGTTGCAGTCATTAATTTATTTTTGTTTATCAATCGAGGTTGCAAATATTTACACATAATATTTTGTTATATTTACACATCATATTTTACAGATGCATCTGGTTTAGCTGATGTTATATTCTGGTATGAATTACAAAGACGAGACCCCGTGGACTACAGGCCTGTACAGACTGGAAGGTTACTTTTGAACAGAAACTGTACGTACATGCATCGCCGTTCGTAACATTGTCCCACGAAACAATGTAAATTGCATACATCATGTTCTGTTAACATTGTTAATATTGTCTGTTCGGTATATTTTATCGTGAGTACCGCACGTGAAGTCTTTGATAGACGTTCAGAAGAACTTTAATACATGACATTTGTGGGGACTTCTGTGTTCTTTGTAACGACGTTTCAAGTAACCTTTTGCCTCTTCACCTGATGAAGGGGCCACGAATTAACCCTGAAACCTACTGTAGTTGTATAGAATTGATTATCACACAAAGGACGATTTCAGGCGACCTAGACCCACCTGCACACAGAGAACTAATACCTTCGACTGTTGTACCTTCAACATAAATTTACAATAGCCGTAACCCGTGAAGATTCCGGGATAGAATAGGTCTTCAGTAAACCATGCTTGCCGTAAAGGGCGACTATGCTTGTCGTAAAAGGCGACTAACAGGATCGGGAGGTCAGGCTCGCTGACTTGGTTGATGCATGTCATCGATCCCAATTGCGTGGATCGATGCTCATGATATTAATCACTGGATTGTCTGGTCCAGACTCGATTATTTACAGACCGCCGTCATATAGCTGGAATATTGCTGAGTGCGGCGTTAAACAACAAAACAACCAACCAACCAACTACAATAGCCGTAGCACTAACTCGCTTTGTGCAAGTGGGCCTTGAAGTCAGGGGAGCGAATTCAGAAATTGCACTTGATAATGATTTTGTCCTTCCTTGGCAATTTGAGATGAGGTATTTGTCAATCGTCTTTGGGAATTTCAGTTCAACATTTTATTGTACCTTCGTTTATCACAGCGTTATCATTACATATGTTCATCGTGTCATACAAGTACCAAAACACATATGCCAGATTGAGTAAATGCCAGTTCGTGTTCGACAATAATCCATCATTTTATGTATTTTCGGCAGTATTACATAGGCCCACTGAGTTGGAACAAACTGCGTATGCACACTACCATGGAATGTCAACACTAACAGCAGAACTATTGTTATAATCAGGCGAGAAAGATTAATATATTTTAATAAATTCTTAACAATTATCGATCCACTGTCTGTGTTATATGTCATTGTCAACAAATGAACAGCATAATGAAAAATGTCTGCCAAGGGCCAGCAACAGGAAAACATAGTAGACATGTTGTAGAGACATGACAACGATTGACAACACAAACCAGGAAGTATGGAATACGTCAGTTGTCTATTTCCAATTCCACCATCATGAACAAGGGAATCATCATCATGTGTATGTCATTTCTCCTTCTGTTTCAGATGCTGGGCATTTCTTTGGTGAAATTGTAAACACCATTGACCCAAGTGATGACGGTATTCTGGAATATTCCGTACATTATTATGCACCGGATGGCAACATCACACGACGCATTCGGGATAGGTTCTTCATTCCATGTAAGTAGTGGTGTGCATTCACTGATTCAAGATATAAAATACTATAAACAGTAGGGGATATCAAAGAATGACAACGGATCTTACACATATGCAGACGTGTTTGATGCTGGCAATAAGTGGACAATTACTTTGAGGATTCTGAGAAATCATAACCGTCATCAATAATCACTTCTCCTGTTTATTGGCTTCATGTCCCTATTGGCTTCCACCTATGTGTTCTCTGTCCATCGTCTTGTGACAGTATCATCCCTTTGTTGTCAACACCTACCAATGTTATCCCACTCATGTATGCAATTGTGGTTACTGTTAATCCTCCACCTACAATATATATTCTGTACTATGTCGCTCATTCAGTCTTGCTTGACAACGGTATAAGGATCTATACCGAAACGTCGCTTTTCACAGTATTAAAGAAGTTGTTATCCCAAAAATTGTGTCTACCTTGACATTCGTCAACTTCTAAGTAATGCCTATCAAACAATTTATGAGTTCATGCCCTTGAAGGAATCTGACGGTAGAACAATTCATCAAACCCACCATTCTGAAAAAAGGCACGTACATGTGTAACCATTACTAACAGATAAACCCACCACGATTCGACAAGCATGCATTGATGTTACAGATATGTCACTGATCAACAGACCTTTCCTACCCTCCTTGAAGTGCAAGGTCCAGTTCATCTATCGTGTCTGAGAGTAGTTGTTGACGACGTGGAAGCCTCTTGATGTGTCCTTGAAGTTATGTTTTAATCAAAGAACCACGCTTGATGATGATGGTTTTGAACACCAAATAATGAGTAGACTACTCTTCCTTTCAAACTGTAATATGGTGTTGTTTGTTTCTTCATCAGCAATAACGCCTCTGTTACCTCGTCTTGTCAGAAGAGGAACCACCGTCCTCTATGACGACTTCTCCTCCAACGTCCTCGACACCAACAAGTGGTGGTTTGAAATAACGTCCCATGGGGGAGGAGTGAGTCAATCAATCAACATTTTTAAAGTACCACTCAAAATTATAGATAATACTTATGAAACATTCTATGTGGCCCTCTTGTTAAAGGCACTGCAATTCTTTGTTCAGAGTTGCGTACCTTAGAAGTGCAGAAACCCTACGACCGTGGGTTCGAATCCCAGACTCGTTCGGATTATAAATCAATGTTTTTAGCAGCAGCCTGTGCTCAAGGGCTTTACCGAAGTGGCAAACGGTAAAGACCTTCGTCGCACATCATAAGTAATATAAATAGAATACAAAGCGGCGTTAAACAAATTCACTCACTTGACATCATGATTCATTAATAACAGTAATCACACTGCCATGCACCTAAGCCATATATATTATGTTTGACCTCACCATAGCATTCGTGTTTAATCACAGAGTGGACAGTTCCAGATGTACACACCTGATACTGCGAACACTTTCATTCGGAATGGAATACTTTATCTTAAGCCGGTTTGTATGCAAGCTTATTTCAGATTTGTAACCTAGCAAATCTAGAATTAGATGCTGCTTTGGGGCGGTCGGGTAGACTAGTTTTTAAAGCGTTCCCGACACGGGTACAATGTGTGAAGCCCATTTCTGGTGTCCCCCGCCGTGATATTGCTGGAATATTGATAGAGGCGTCGTAATACCATACTCACTCACTCACTCACTAGATGCCGCTTTCTTAATTTCCTCAAAGCAAACAAAATAATTGTTAATAAAAATAATTCCATATTGAACCTGATAAAAAAAAATCTATTATTAATACTTGAGGATTCATGGGCAGCATAGGTCTCAAGTATGACTTGCTCATTGTAAAGTGGCTCGGATGGCTTGAGTGTGTTACCTTGCTGGGTATGTTCCACGGCGACCACGGCTGTTTCTTATTGTCTCAACAATTGGTTTCCTGGCCCTGAATTGATTGCTATGGCATTGCGGACTGCCTAAACTCACTGATATCAGCTACGATTTATAATCCTACAGTAAATGACCAAATAACATGTACAATGATGGAATAATATTCACATTCTTTAACATACAGACCTTCACTGCTGACACGTTTGGAGATCATTTCCTTCACAGCGGAAAGCTTAACTTTACCAGTGAGTAAGTGCATATAATTTTCAAGCCATATGTACAAATATTTTCTGAATGATACTAATTGTATTCAAGTTGTTGTTGTTGGGTATTATGTTTGTGCGTAGCAATGAATTGTTACTCGAAAAAAGTTTGTTTGTTTTTTTCAGAACAGTGGGGTTCTTGCACCTACAGTGGGCACAGCGGATGCTTCCGAGAAGGAGCTCTCCAAAACATACCACCAATCATGTCAGCGGAAATACATTCTAAAGTAACACTAGTTCACGGTAGTGTGGAGGTGGTGGCTCAAATCCCCAAAGGCGATTGGCTATGGCCAGGTATGTCAAACGTTGCTTTGAAGGACGTTTTGATGCAGTACTCTTATCCTTACAACTAATTATCGCTTTCCCGATGTTCTGTTCTGCAGTAGTACCGAGATACTACGACGGTATTTTTGTTGAATATCCGCATCGTACCACTTTTGTATCACAAGGACTTTGCGTATATTTCGCTCACAAGTGACACCAGCTCACTACATGTTGTTTATCACCTTGCCGACATTTAGAAAGTCATCGTATTTCCTTTTGTTTGAAAGCAATCTGGCTTCGAGCTGAATGGCCTTGGAAATATGGGAAATGGCCCGCGTCAGGTGAAATTGATATCATGGAAGCGAGAGGTAGGTTGTGCCACCCATTTTAAATGGAGATGCAATATGTGTACATTTATTATTATCAGTTTATGAGAAAAATTAGCCACATCACACTCGATGAAATGCCAAGTGTATCTTTGCATGAGTTTCGGTGACCCTGACTTCTGACTTAATCACAAATTAGTGTGCTAATAGATGTAGAAGATGCATCCAACAATATGACAATGTGCGTATTCCGATTTTTCATGTTGTGCCACTCGTGCACTGTGGCACTTTAATCGCATCTGTTGGCAGGTAACCTGAACATTAAAGATGACCACAATCAGGATAAGAGTGTAAACGTTGTCTCTTCAACACTGCACTGGGGAGCATCATCGTCGCAACATAAACACCATGGGGAATCAAGGTAGAGAATAGGTTGAAACATTCAGATTAAGCTGACCCATATATTCAGAAGGTTGTGACTGATGTATGTAGCGCCCATTTCCTTACATGGTTCTTTATATAAAGTCTCTACTAACACAGAAATGCACCTGGCAGTGAAATGGGTATGATGACATACTACAAGCATAATACATCCAGAAATATTGCTGAAGACACAGATGACGCAAAGCAGTTGTTCGACTTTGCCTCAGCTGGAAATATTTTTAAAAGTAAGGTTCCCTAAATTAATATCTACCCAGTTCAGGTTGTCTTTGATGAAATGATTTCTTTCAATGCTTGCTGAAGACCAAGCACTGTTGGGACAACATGGGCTGATGATTTTCATACCTACAAATTGGACTGGAACGCGGATCATATCAGGTAATGTCGCCGTTGAAGGGTTCCATTTTGTTCACGTTCTTCGTTCAAACCTATATCAGACTACAGCTTGGTGGTCAACAAAGTTTCTTTCTCTTGGTTGGGTGGTTTTTGAATGATTTGAAGCCTTAATCTGTATATGTGCAGCATTAAAGAAAGTGTGTACCTTCTTTGTTTTTATTTGATTAGAGGTCTTGTCGCACTCAATATTCCAGCTATATGACGGCGGCCTGTAAATAAAAATATGAACCAGTGTGTTTGGTGTTATGAGCAACGATTCATGCCGCCTGGTTACGATGACACACAATCAACGAAGTCACCAAGCCGACCACTCGATCCATACGACCGACATTTGGTGGAATCTCCGCGAGGCTATACTCACTTCTTTGAGGCGTATAGAAGTTGGAGTATTTATATGGACGCACGATAACGGTGTTAGAACCTACACCGAAACGTCACTCCTTATTGTAATAAAGAAGTTGTTCATCCATATATCTTATCCTCATTTAGGCTATACTACTTTATCAAATACATATTTTAGATGACGTCAATAGCTGCTAATTTGTGTTAAATTTGATATACTTTCCATATAGATTATATTAATTGAAAGACGAATAAAATGATGATTTCAAAGAAAGTCTTCACGATGACACCAAAGAAAGGTCAACCAGTATCTGATACACCTACGCACCTAACAACGGAGTAATAGCGGAGATAGGTCTACGTCCTGACTTGACATAATATATATATTGTTTATCAGAATGGATGTCGACAATCAGCCTATCTTAGCGTGGGCAACACCGACGCAGGGCTACTGGGACTACAGCCATCTATCTGGCAACAATATCTGGGGACAAGGTGGCAAGGACGCACCTTTCGATAGCAAAGTGAGTTGGCCCCAAGGCAGCGTTAAGGACATCATTTCTCAATTATCCATGAAATACATACACGGCTATGCGTTGTGTATGTACTGACATCTGTCTATTTGTAGACAAGTAATGAAAAGAAAGGAGGGCGTATGACACGGAAGACAAATGCAGGAATACCATTGCCTAATATTAAATAAAGACTCCATAGTCATAACTAGTCCCTAACAAAAGCAGAGTCCGTTGTACCTTTCCAGATATACTGAACCAATTTTAAAAACTTCACAATCCTAAAATTTTAACAATTTGACCAGTTATCATTGTGGGCCCTTATTGTGTATTTAAAGAGTTATGGCCACGTATTGTCTTCAGATAACACCCGTTTTTTGTGCAGGTGAATCGATCAAAATCACGTGAACAGCACTATACTGGCAAAAGTGGTTTTTAACGTGCAACTGGTCAACGCGTCTACAGCAAACGGGTACCACCGCTGATCGCCCTCGGCCAGGTCGACCACGTGTGACGTCACATGCAGAGGATCGTCAGATTGTCTTACGTCCCCTCCGTAACCGATTTTTGACGGCTACATCAACCAGAAATGAACTATTTAGGGGTAGACTGAGTGCGCAAACTGTTCGAAACCGTCTGATCATGAGAACTGCTCACCTTCAAGCACAACGGCCATACTGCGGGCCGATTCTGACTCAATTACACAGACGTCAACGTCAATTGTGGGCACAGCGACACTTACGATGGACTCAGAGGAATTGGAATCAAGTCGTCTTCAGTGATGAATCCCGATTTAATCCTCGATTTGCTGATGGTAGGGCGAGGGTGTGGAGGCGCCGTCATGAACGTTACGCCCAGTGTTGTGTGCAGGAAGTTGACAGATTTCGAGGCGGAAGTGTCATGGTGTGGGGTGCTTTCTGTGGCAATGCACGTTCCAGGCTTCTTGTCATCCGTGGCAACCTCAACGCTGCTGCTTACCGCGACCAGGTACTGGCACCAGAACTTCTGCCTTTTATGGAAGCACATGGACCCGGTTTGATCTTTCAACACGACAATGCCAGACCCCACACAGCAATTTTGACAAGGAATTTCCTTCAGAATGCGGGAGTCAACGTCATGGACTGGCCGTCAAGGTCTCCCGACCTCAATCCCATCGAACACGTCTGGGATGCTCTTGGCAGAAGTCTGCGCACTCTCCAGAACCAACCACAGAATTTGCAAGATTTTGGCACCATTTTGCAGCAACAATGGCGTCGTCTTCCCAATCATGTGTTCACAAGCATCACAAGGTCCATGCGGAGGCGTTGTGTGGCAGTTGTCAACGTGCATGGTGGCCATACACGCTACTGAACTTGTGTGCCATCAGATTATCGTGCTTGGGACTTATGATTTAAACTGTTGATGTTATTACCGAATACCGTAGGTGCTTGGAACAAATTATGGTTCCCACCGTTAATTGAAATCCTTCTTTGGACATTAATGATTAAAAATTACCTTCTCTGATACATTTGTCCGTTGTATATCATATATGGGATTACTTTTAAAAATGTGAAGTTTTTAATTTGACTCAGTATATATCATAATCATGTATTTAATGTGAATCACTATCAATAAGTGACGATGCCAGATGTACGTATAAAGATGGGCGAATCCTGCCCCTGTTGTCTGATTGTTTATTCTCATTACGGCCTACAGGAGAAATATATGTTTACGTTCCCTAACAGCACCATCTCAGTTCTTCGTTCATGGATACATAGATGCATTGTTCTTGTCAAACAAGTTTACTTTGAGAGAAAACTAGTTTTGAAACTGAGGCCATACATGGGAAAAATCCGTAGATTGGTGCCACGTCATCAAGGTGATTACTGTTTGATTTCTATTAAGATGGGGCTTATCCTGAACATTGCTGTGGGTGCTACCAATGGCTACTTCCCTGATTCCTGGCACAACCTTCCCCATGGCAAGCCCTGGAAGAACACCTCACCTACAGCCATGATGGACTTCTGGAAGAACAGGCACCAGTGGCAGTCGACTTGGCATGGTGATGACGTCGCAATGAAGGTCAAGTCCGTCAAGATGATACAGTATTAATAGCGGAAGATAACTAAAAAGCAAGTTGGCATACTGTGTACATCCGAGAAATTGATTTACGCGTGTACACACTAGTTTGTAACTCCATAAACGCATATACAGAGTAAAGTCAATTCTTATAAATAAATGCATAACAAAAATAGGCTCATAGTCATTAAGATGCATAAAAGCTGGAGACAACAATACGAAATCACACCGTCCATTCAGCCAATCAGGAAGAAGTAGTCTGTTCGTGGGCGTAGCCTATTTATTCAGTTCATTGGAACATCATTGCTTGGTTAGCCACGTAATCCATTTGCAATTTATTTATTAACAATTAAAACAAGTTTATTGTGACAATATGTTCAACAAAGATATCTACATTGACAAGATGTTTTGTTTTATTACATATGTAATAAGGGGGCACGGGTGGCCCAGTTGTCTAAGGCGCCGCAATTCGGCATCCAGAGCTGCGTCACTTGGGCGACCTAAGATCGTGGGTTCGAATCCCGGCTCGTCCATAGTATTTTTCTAGGTTCGTCAGCACCATGCCCGTGCTCGTGGGTTTAGACAAAGTGGTAAACGTCAGAGACCTGCATCATTCCGGGCTTTCCTCCCACATGAAGCTGACACGCCTTGATATGACTTGAATAGTGTTCAAAGCGGCGTTAAAACCAACTCACTCACTCATATAGAATAACAAACGCCAAGGGCAGTAAATCCTGCATGGTGAAGACGTCGGTACATACAAGTCGGAAAAGATAGTACCGTAATATAAGACTAAAAACATACATCAATGTAATTTAGAAATAGAAATATATAATATATATTGCTATATCATATTTATTGAATAAGATTATTGATGGCAATATATTTTCCAGTTGACTTGAGTGTCTGAAGCTTCACGCCGTTGTTACAGTTATACCATTACGGGTATCACCAAGCATCTTGCTGTTGTTTTCACGACGCTGCAATACTTCCACAGTGGCGTATCCAAACATGCCAGTGATAAGTATTGCAAGGGATATGTGCAGCTTTGTGCTGGTACACAGATAATCATTATATGCATATTGTATGATAAACCCAACAGATTCCCATAGTCGGTAGTTCGCAAACCCAGATTCCATGTTGTCTTTGAACAGGAGCCCATACAGAGCTGTAATAGAATAAAAAAGGGATTTGAATGATAAGACATGAACCTTCATCTACCAATGGAACGTACCTGCAGACACCCGTACTGGTAATCATTAGAATGTTACTTCAAATACCATTTCCCTGTTTTTCGGAAATGGAGGTATTAACTGCTGGACAAAAGAAAGTACATAAAACTTGAAAATTGGATTGAACAAATTATTACAAATGGGTGGTATATGTTGAGCCGCCTCAAACTAAAAACGCCAATACTTCCTTCACCTGTTCGGTGTTTTGGAACAGTTTGCTTGGTCAGCTTGGTTAGAGAGTGAGTTGGTATGGTTTTACGCCGCTTTTAGCAATATTCCAGAAATATCACGGCGGGGGATACCAGAAATGGGCTTCACACATTTTACCCATGTCGGGAATCGAACCCGGGTCTTCGGCATGACGAGCGCACGCTTACCCAATAGGCTACCCGACCGCACCATTAACGATTAGAACATGATTCTTGTGACAATAATCTCATATAGTCACAACACATCACCCTCGAATAAACATAACTTGTTTGTTTTATTTTTAGCCACCATCAGCCATGGATGTATTGTCTTTCTTTTGCACAGCAGTAAATAAGAATATTTATGGGAAGTTACTGGATTTTCGGTTTACCTACCATTGATCTGTGTCTGGATAACGGCGTCTCCCATCCCCCAGATACCCGCGATGATGTAGAACACGTACAAGCTGTTACTGTCGGGGTCCCAAAGTAGGAACACGATTTGACACGATCCGTGAAGCACGAAAGCTGAAACATTTGTATGAGATTATAATTTGAAGTCCTTTCCGTGAGATGGTTATCATTTTTTATGATTAATGTCTATGTTTTTTATGTAGATTATTGAAAAAAATGTGGATAGTGAATAATTGATGAACTTGTTTCGATTCAGTTATGAAAGGCCAAATGAACTGAATATAGAAATAACTTATACCTAATTATAGTTTTTACTTCAGTGTGAAAGAGTTTGAGGTAAGAAAAATTAAATTTTCAGTGCAGTGAGCATAACACCTTCCATTTCACAGCAGTAAACATAACACCTTGACGGAACTATTGTCTTACAAGAGTTGCCTCCCCGAAAAGTAATTCCCTTTATTGTAAATGTCTCGCCCGTACACAAACTATTGACTTCATATTTACGGTAGTTCCACACTGACAAAATAATGACAGTATCGCTTCTTGTCATTTGTAATTCTCATGAATAGCGTGTATTCTTTCGCTGACAACGATTTAATAGATTTCAAGAATATGTTTTGTTGAAGTTGATTGTGTATATAATCATATCCAAATGTATGGTAAAGAATTTTCTTGACATCAAAAGTTTGTGTTACTTTTATTTATTTTTGTTAAGAGTTTGCTAACCCGGAACTACTTTTTAAGTAATTTTGCAAGGAGTGGTGAAACGTAGGTGGAATTTACGCTTCAAGGTTTTACATTTTTATTGAAATAATTCCGTTTTCCTGTGAACAACTACACAAAAAGTATACAGTATAAAGGATGGAATAGGATATTCCATGTGTCACGTGAAATTTAATGTTTCCCGCATCTCGTGGCTACGCCAATCGTGAAAATACGTCCTTTCCTCCGTTACTCTATGAGAGAGACATGCCATTTCACATTTCGACGCATTGAACATCCTCTATATAATACAAATACAAAACTTCCACGTTGACACCATTTGTTCGCGATGTCCTACTCTACCGGTAGCACCCGCCACTCACATAATTTGCATAAAAAGAAGGATATATGTGTTATACCACCAGCTGACCAAATTTATACAATCAGATAATAAGATATAATCGACGAATTTATGAAAGGCATTGTGAACTGCAAGTATTTCATAAAAAAAATAAAAGCAGAAAAAACATTTCCATATCCATAAGAAATCTCTACCAAAAGCAGAAAGCACTGCAGGGTTCCGACCATATCATGAGTCTCTATCAAACAGTAAGGATACCGGGAGTTTGAAAAAAGTTGCGCGTATCCTGCTCACCGGTGCCACACGACAATAAATGCCTCCTAAGAAGTGGGATATGTATAAGTTGGCTTCTTGAAGAACTGACTAATTTAAAAGGACAACCAAGCGTGACTACGCAGAACATACATTTCGGCTAATTAATACAATTTAAAACCAAAGTGTACAGTGCTTATATTAGAACTCTTAACTCAACATACATATAGATACATTTACCTAACACAAAGAAGGGTATGTGTCCAACACTCTTGACCAGCTGACCAAACAGAAACGAGCAGAAAGCATCAACAACTCCGTAACAGATCATGATGTAACCGACGTAGTGGATGCCGAGGGTACACGTGATGAAGGACTGAAATTGTGGACAAAAGCGTCGTAATTGATTATGATTATGCATGCAATCAAGCCACGTGTGGAATGCCAAGTCCCCTGATAACGTATACATGCATTGGAATTGGCTATGGATTTGACCTCTACATGTATTCTCTGTATGGTCCCCTTCATGACGTCTATTGTCAAAAGTATAAGGTACTTCCGGTGGGCCAGTTACGGACAGATCCTTTAACATGTTGTTAATTCTGTGTGAATTACGTTTCGCAGATGAATACGTTACGTAGGGTATTACTGGTAACATCTCTAATCTCCGCTCACTCTGGTGAAGTCTCCACCGATCAAGGCTTGCTCTATTCCACTGTACACGGTGAGGGGTACAAGGAGTATCTGGTATCTGGAGGTGATGAGGTGTTTGATGCTGGCCATCAACACCCGGGGGGATACCCGTTTGGTCTGCTGGTCCTCCTTGACCAACTTCATACGATCGAGGAACAGGATGATAATGAACATCCCCGAGACAGCGCAGGTCACGAACACGCCACACAATATGTAGATCTGGAAGCACAAAGACACGCACTCCAGTTATGTTTGTAATTGGGGATGAGCGCTGCATCATAGCTGTATTTGCTACCAGTTGCAGCTTTGAGATGAGCCCAAAGTGATGCTGGTCATAGACGTAACTTCCTTTCAGGAACAAACTAGCATGGGAACGGTGCTGACAAAGGATCATAATCGATAATGAGGATCATTGGAGGACGCAAGTTAGAGTAGGGAGACCATGATATTCCGGGACGAAATATAGCTCCAAAAATATGATTGTCAGGTTTTCGAGTGAACCAGATGTTACAGTAAAAATACAGAAACCATTTGTTTTTGTCAGAAAAATCCACACCCGTGACGATCCGGGCCAGAGTTGACCTTCAGCAACCAATGCTTGTCATAGGAGGCGACTAACCATTTCGGGTGGTAACCCAATTCCGCACATCAATGCTCATGATGTCAATCACTCGATTGACTGGCTCGGACTCGAATATTTAATCACCCCTTTCATATAGCTGGAATATTGCTAAGTGTTGCGTTAAACAACAAACAGACAAACAATAGTCCAATAGTAATAATCTTCATTAATTTCATTTTCTACATCCATTGATAGGTTGTAAACATATGATCAGTACGTTAAAGTAATGGTTTCTAAATCAAGTTACGTTTGCATTCATTTGTACGTCAGACAACTGATGAGCATTCATACATAGAACACATCCTAGGCAGCGTCAGTTATCACCAGTAATCAAACCTTAGTGTCTACAGGACGTTCGAGGTTTGTGTTGTTCGAGGCTGCAATCTGACTAGGACAGAACCGTGCTCCACATATGCGCTGTTCAGGAACAGAGGTGTCTGAAGTGTTACTCGCTGTACTACTTGATGACGAAAATATGCTGAAGATGATGATGTTTCCCCATATTTGATCTACAAAAGAAACAACGTTTAACAATCATCGGATTTTATATTGATAAACATGAATAAATATAAAACGCCAACGTGAGAGATTAATCTGTCCCTATTCCATGGAACATAAAAGGCAAAAAAAGTGGTGAAAAGCATATTAATGGATCCCTGAAAATCAGTGATAACACCAGATTTTCGTGAAAATGGTAACATGCCCCGCTCTACTGGTGGCACAAAGGGTGGCTAGTCAACAGGCAACAGTGGCACCGTAGATCACTAGTTTACACGTGTTCCCTTTCTGTGATCGATCATCGAATTTACAAATTTTAACCTATACAAATATCATCTTGTAAAATTAGCGAAAATTGAAGAAAATGTCTATTTACCTGCTTTACACAAATAGTCCAGTCAAAATAGCTAGGCACCCACCACAAATTGCAACAGAAATTATTTCAACTGATTTACACTCAGAATCTAACCCATTTATTAAAAAAAGTGTTCAATACCAATGGTAAAGAAGGGTCGACTTCATCTCTTAAACATCTCATGAACAGCTCCTTTAACTCTCGTGACAAAATACTACTCTATACCATGTGAATTGACAATTTGAGATATTCAAATGTCAAATGTTACTTACACGATTGAAAGAACATGAAGAAGACTCCAAAGAACCGGTTAATGATGGCGTCCTCAGACTGTCCAGTCATTCTGGCATACCAGACCCCCAGGGTGGTCAAATAGGTACACTTGGCTGACCAAAGAGGGCCTGCACCTAGTCCAATCAGAATCGACGCAGGAACCATTGTGGCCCATACAGGATAGAAATTGGCTACCATATATGCGATGTATCCCGTGATTGAAAGAACTATCGACCATTTACAACCAATGTGGGCAATAAGGAATGACGGTACAAATAAACACGAGATAATCATTGCTGCATATATAACAGCAAGGCTTCCACTTCCGACTCCACTTTCCATATTGAGGCTGGACTGTAGATTGGCCATACTTCCATAGGAGATGAATAGCACAACAAAGGCTATGCTGACCACCAGTACATTTTTGATGATTTGGCGTTTGGTAAACTGGGGTTCGCCATCCTTTTCCGGAATAGGAGGCCCTGGTTCATCAGTACGGTATTTGTGGATGTCAGTTTCCTGTTGCTGAACCTGTGGAGATTAAAGAGTCGGCTGTCAAAACGAATGAGCGATTGTAGGCAAATAAATTCGAATGTTTACTATGTGATACACACAGTGGACGCCAGGTGATCCGGACGGTACTGTGCCCCAGTGAGGTAGAACATTTTCGTATTTACCAAGTAGGTTGAGATTGACTCAAACACCGCTTCTTCATTTGTGTTAGGCTGGCTAATATACACCTGATGAGGAGCAAGTTGTACCCCTGAAACGTCGTAACAAAGAATACAAGAAGTTGCCTTCCATAAAAAGTGTCATGTATTCATGTTTTCCCACCATCGAAATTCCTATCAAAGACTTGAAATGCATTAGCTATTGGCAAATCATATTACATTGTTAGGTTACCCGACCACCCCTCCCTTTGAAAGAGAGACGAAATGGGGTTTAACGTCACGTTGCACTTTAATACATTGCGAAGTGGAAGGGGGACGTGTGTGCCTGTATGCCTGTCTATCTCTCTGTCTGTGTCTGAGATACCATGCCGCAGTTCAAAGATTTTTTTATTGCATTTTGGTATGACGCGTCCGAAGATCGAACCACCGACCTTCCGCTCTCGGGTAAGACACTCTATCCACCAGACAACTGAATGGGTCTCGAGATCATAGATCACTAAGATATCAATTATTCCTTTGTAAACCTCAAATGAAACCATTCGACAAAACGAAGGCAGGACATATTCACACATTCGTATTTTGCAAAGGGTATCTGGTGATTAAGCAGTACATTACTCACTAAACAGTTCTAACACCGCTCTCTTTCAAAGAATAACTACTTACAAGTGAGTACGACTCAATCTGCTTGACGTTTTCTTCAGCGTGCATGATTGCACTCGACACAGTAGGGAGACTTGTGAAATACGGAAACCAAGATTCCAAACGTATACCTGACCTATTATTGCCTTCCTGAACCTTGCCCCCGTTAAAGCTTATGGCCACGTGGGAAAGTAAATTGTGTCGTGACAGCAATATTACAACAATTCGCGGCTACCCACCTACAAAGGCATACTACTCACAGTACCCGTAACACAACGCTACATTATGAAGGTTGTTCAAATACATTTGTCAGGTTTAGGGTTTTAGGAAATGTCAAATGCTTTTCTATATAATAATTAACCTATGTTTATATGTCATTTAAACTAATGAATGTGTCCACTGAGAAACTTCACCAGGCCATTCCGGGTCTATATGCTTCCACACGTACAGACAGTGTATGCATATGGAGGAGCACATTCGTTCAAGCTCAATAAAAACGACAACCACAGACTCGATTATCCACCGAAAGAGATTCAAATGGGAGTAAAGGCCAAAATAACTACGGAAATTATGTGAGTGGATCACTGTAAACCAGGTGTTCACGAAAGGGTGTTCACGAAAGGGTACAAATATGGATTATCCAGTGTATCATACGTCGCTTCTGTAAGGGCGTCCTTACTATTTTTTTTGTATTTCTCTCTAAGGTTTTCCCAGAGAGGGCCGGGCAGTGGGAATAAGAAAAAGAAAACAAAGGTTCCATATTACAGATTACCATGTCAAGATTGTCAAAACCTACAATGTATCTAGACGATTTAGACCAAATACCAGGGGTCACTGTTTTGCCTTTGACCAGCCGAGAGGTAACTGCCACACTAGTCAGTAACGCTGGGCTGGAGTGCGTTGACAGTTGGAGCCAGCTTGATCTTGTTTAAGTCTTCTCTCCAACACCAAAAGGTGTAGGATGGTTATGTTATCTACATCCCCTTAACGCACTGTGGACAGTGGACACACTGGGCACAATGGACTCACTGAACCCACTGGACATTGGGTAAACTGAACATACTGTGTACGCAGCGGACACACTGAGAAACCTGGACACACTGAACACCAGGCACACTGGACACATTAGAGACGCTGGACACACTGGGAACACTTGCCACACTGCGCACACTAGAAACACTGGGCAAACTGGACACACTGGGCACAGTGGACTCACTAAGCACACTAGACACACTGGACACACTGGGAACACTGGCCACACTAGGCACACTAGACATACTGGGAACACTGGGAACACTGGCCACACTAGACACACTGGACACACTGGGAACACTGGCCACACTAGCCGCACTAGACATACTGGACACACTGGGAACACTGGGAACACTAGACACACTAGACACACTAGACACACTGGGAACACTGGGAACATTGGCCACACTAGACACACTAGACTCACTGGGCATACTAGACACGCTGGACAGACTGGGCACAGTGGACTCACTAAGCACACTAGACACACTGGACACACTAGACACACTGGGAACATTGGCCACACTAGACACACTAGGCACAGTGGACTCACTGAGCACACTAGACACACTGGACAAACTGGACAAACTGGACACACTGGACACAGTGGACACACTGAGCACACTGGACAAACTGGACACACTGGGCACAGTGGACAAACTGGACACATTGGGCATAGTGGACTCACTGAGCACACTAGACACACTGGACAAAGTGGACACAGTGGACACACTGAGCACACTGGACAAACTGGACACACTGGGCACAGTGGACAAACTGGACACACTGGGCACAGTGGATTCACTGGGCACAGTGGACACACTGAGCACACTCGACGCACTGGGCACACTGGACACACTGGGTACACTCGACGCACTGGACTAACTGGGCATACTCGACGCACTGGGCACACTGGACACACTGGACACACTGGGCACACTCGACGCACAGGGCACACTGGTCAAACTGGACACACTGGGCACAGAGGACACACTTAGTACACTCGACGCACTGGGTACACTGGGCACACTAGACACACTGGGCATAGTGGACACACTGAGCATACTACACACACTGGACACACTGGACACACTGGGAACACTGGCCACACTAAGCACACTAGACATACTGGGTACACTGGGAACACTGGCCACACTAGACACACTGGACACACTGGGAACACTGGCCACACTAGCCACACTAGACATACTGGACACACTGGGAACACTGGGAACACTAGACACACTAGACACACTGGGAACACTGGGAACATTGGCCACACTAGACTCACTAGACTCACTGGGCATACTAGACACACTGGACACACTGGGCACAGTGGACTCACTAAGCACACTAGACACACTGGACACACTGGACAAACTGGACACACTAAACATACTAGACACCCTGGGCATAGTGGACACACTGAGCATACTACACACACTGGACACACTGGACACACTGGTCAAACTTGACACACTGGGCACAGTGGACACACTGAGCACACTCGACGCACTGGGCACACTGGACACACTGGGTACACTCGACGCACTGGACACACTGGGCATACTCGACGCACTGGGCACACTGGACACACTGGACACACTTGGCACACTGAACACACTGGACACACTGGGCACACTCGACGCACTGGGCACACTGGACACACTGGGCACACTGGACACACTGGACACACTGGACACACTGGGCACACTCGACGCACTGGGGACACTGGTCAAACTGGACACACTGGGCACAGAGGACACACTGAGTACACTCGACGCACTGGGTACACTGAGCACACTAGATACACTGGGCATAGTGGACACACTGAGCATACTACACACACTGGACACACTGGACACACTGGACACACTAGACACACTGGGCACACTGGGCATAGTGGACACACTGAGCATACTACACACACTGGACACACTGGACACACTAGACACACTGGTCAAACTGGACACACTGGGCACAGTGAACACACTGAGCACACTCTACACACTGGGTACACTGAGCACACTAGACACACTGGGCATAGTAGACACACTGAGCATACTACACACACTGGACACACTGGACACACTAGACACACTGGGCACAGTGGACACACTGAGCACACAGGACACATTGGTCACACTGAACACACTGGGCATAAGGCTCACATTTTATTTCGTTTTCGAAGAATCTTTTGCATCGATATTTCTTCAACTCATTACAGATATTTTTATCAATATTAGGGTGAATAGTGATCAAATTATTAATTCACACGTCAGGTGAGCTGTAGATTTTGTTAAAGAACATATACAGTATATATCACGGCTGCCTGTATTCAATGGCCCCTCTGATGGTTTGTAGCACAAACACTGACTTACTTAGGGAATGTGATGGCACGCAATTTAGCCCGGGGACAATGTAACCATGCGACTGACACACAGAGAATAGTACTGGTCCACAGCAAACCATGCTGTTCGTGGTCACTCGGTGACTTGGTTGATTGCGTGTCATCGTACACAGATGACTGGATCCTTTCTCATAATATCAATCACCGTATTTTTTTCTGGACGAGCCTCGATTATTTACACGTCGCGTCATGATTATGTAGAATGAATATTGATCAGTGCGGCGTTCAATTATAAGTAAGCACGCATATATTTCCACACAACAAATTGCAGAGAAACATCAGAATACTCTAAGACTACACGTTAACGCCGGTTCTGATCCATCGGTAACAGCCTGAATTTATACAGAGCTACTTGCACATATCTGTCACCATCTCTCGTCACCCTGTCAATCAATCTCACAAACAGCTGATAAATGTGATTAGAGTACTGAGATACATTAACGATAGCCAGGTCATAAAGTCCGGTATCAAACTGATCAGATTGTTTGCTTATCACAGACCCCGTCGGACGACACTAAAACATGGTAAATGGCAATTCAATGCTGAACTACCTACCTGCCAAGAATGAATATTTCGAATCCCGGACAGAACTCAACCCCAAAAAAGTATGAGAATCTGTACTTTACTTCGAAAGGGTTATCCCAAATATAACATTTGTTACATTTGACCACTTTCTAAATGGCACTGTGTATTCAACGACATATAATATTTGATGCGTGTATTTCTTACCACGTTGGAGGTGTTCTGTTTATTTTAATGTAGAAATATGTACGCGTTGAGAATGAACAGTTTGGGTACACGATTATTTGGACTACACAACACGTTATCAATCTAACATTTCTTTTGGTGAATTTACGATTGAACGCAGGTTAAGAATCTTAGTTTCACGAATGACCGCCATGCACTGTGGATGCACAGTGGCTGTGGGTGCAAAAGATAGAAATATTAACAAATACACAAAGTTTTGATTTTTTTCTGTTACTTATCACCTAATTCATAAATCAAATGTAAAATATATTTGGGCTTGACCTAACATTCATTGTAAAATGGTCATATGAATTTTTTCTACAAAACAACGAATTCCAATACACGTTATTTATACTGAAGGAACCACAAATCATCATTTTAATTGTTTGTTTGTTTGTTTGTTGTTTATCGCCGGACTCAGCAATATTCCAGCGATATCACGACGGTCTGGACCAGACAATCCAGTGATTGACATCATGAGCATTGATCCACGCAATTGTGATACGATGACATGCATCATCCAAGTCAGCGGGCCTGACCACCTGATCCCGTTAGTCGCCTCTTACGACATTTTGTAGCTAATAGTTGTTGGTTGTATTATTTTAACGACAATAACTGAGAAACAACCTTAGTACTCTTCTTTTAATATTAGCTTTCTTGGTAAAAGGTCCATCTTGACAGTTGTATCAATCAAAGATAGTTATTGTGATTTGAAACCTGATTGGCCAATCAGATTCGAGTATTTCCCATGACCTCGTCAACTTAGAAACACAACAGTAACTTACTGTATGTTATTCAAGTGAGATGGAAGTTACACGTCTTTCGGCAATATTCCAGAAGCATCATGACGGGTAGGTCCTTCCAGAAATGAAAACTTAATTTGTAATAATTTTATACCCTGATCAAATTATAAATCAATTGTTGATATTGTGTGGTCTCAAAACACAATGTACAAATTTTTGCATTTCTATGCTGCGGCATAATTGGCCGTAGTCGTCTTGTTGATTTGGATAGTGTCAGCACAATAGATTGTGTTCACCTGATGTTGCACTTATTTATTTTTTATAAAATCAGTTGACATTGCATCTGTAGTATCTTTAACGAAGCGTGTGTGTGTGTAAGTGTAACTCCTATATATATTGTATACAATGCTTGTGAAATAACATATTATAAAGAAAGTTATTTACTTATATTGGAGATTTAACGTGCGCTTTCCGACTGGAAGCGTATGTCGCACACGGAAAGAAAGTTACATGTTGCTACATTTTGTAAACAACATGATAACGAGCCAGCAAGTTCAACCGACCTCAAATGATCACGTGATCGACTCACGTCACATGACACACGCAAGGACATACCACAGGGTGTGAGACGCCCTCAGAGAGTTAGATTCACGCTGCAAATATCGGTTGTGTCCATTCCAGGTGAGTGACAATGTATTTGTGCATACAATTTCACAAAGAACAAAAGCGTACACCTTTCAAAGCCCGAATAATACAATGTTAAACTAACTATTTCGCAAAACGTACATATAATGTGCCGAGCTTTCGCTTTGATATAGAGGAAACACTAACACAGTGTACTTAATCTGTGATAGTTACCATGCCAGCAGGTTTAGCTGATCCAACACAATAATACAACATTGATGAAATCATTCAGCATCTGGAGCAGTCATAGACACATTAACCTACATTCTGTTCGGATAAGGTATCTGTTTGGTTTGTTCGTGACTCCAAGGTCACACTGACCCGGCATAACGAAAGTAGGGATTGTTTATTGATTGAACGTGTAAGGCAGGGATTGCTCTCTATCTTTGTGTGAACTAATGTGCTAGCTTTTCACATTTATATCCGCATAATATTGTCATTAACCTAGCCCTTTGGTTGCCTTTTACTTAACTGCCAACACGTGCTGCTTTTCCAGTTACGTCATGACTATACGTAGTAGCTAGTAGTAGTGGTGGTGGTTGCAGTGGTGGTAGTTATATAAAGGTGAAATAATACTGATACTATCACTTTCTACATCGCATGACATTGAATATACGCATACACTTTATGAGATTCAGATGCTATGGTTCATAAAAATCGAACTAGGAAAATAAACATAACATAACCCAGTGTCATAGAAGTAAACCAATTTGGGACATCGTGCATGAGAGTTACCTCCCTTTCACCAACACAGCCAAGCGACTAACCGGTTCTGTGTCAGTCGGGGATACTTGTTAATACCCATAGGAAGAAAGTGAGTGCGGTGTTCAATAACAAACAGGCGGGCATATAGCAACAAATTACAAAGAAATATTACAATACTCTGAGACTGCCAGTGCAGAAGCCTAGGTATCAGCCACACTTATATATCTTTCTTATGCAGGAATGTGCTAAACATTCCATTCATACAGTCCCTATGTTCATCAAGAATATTGTGTCCCTTTGCTTCCATTTGCCTGTCAGATTAAGTTATTATGATCAGTATATGTTCTGCTGGAAAATAAAGAAATATAATGGAGTGATAGCTTTGTGGGTAGGGTAGCACATGGTGTTGATCATAAAATTGGGCGTTTAAAATCAAAATCTATCAAAATTTATTTGGATTCAAAATCTTTTGAATCAAACGTAAAGTTGTCACAAGAATTTTATTTTAAGTAATACAAAAATTGTATTTAAAAAATGACTTTGTGTAATAGATTAGATAAAGGGTAATTTTCATTAATTCCACACTGGCTTTGTGTTTGGAGATGTGACATTTTCTAACTTGCTTCAGATGGCGACAGCAAAGAAATTGACGGACAACCATCTAACCTGTGTCATCTGTACAGAGGTGTTCACAGACCCTGCCACACTTCAGTGAAGTCACACATTCTGTAAGTCGTGTCTGCTGAAATACACCAAAACACAGCCTAAAGCAATACAAGACAAGACCATCCTATGTCCCTCCTGTAGACAGCTGACGAGGGTGACCAACCCTGACAGTCCAGTAGAGGAGTGGGTCAGTCAGCTGAAACCAAGTCACGTGATACAGGGGCTGATGGACGACTTTGGTCCAGAGACAGAAGGTGATTATGATTTGTTACATTGCATGTTACACGGTCGCATAACTCAAGATAAATGTAATGTGTTTATGCTACGTGTGCCCTTTCTTGGAACATACACATATTTAAGCTCGTCAATTGTTTTCAGTAACATTAAATAATCGAAAAGACATGAATGAAATCAGAACATGACCTTGTATTAGATGCACAAATACACGTAGCATAACATCTACCAGGCGTCTAACGCCCAGATCGATCCTCATGTCAAAAACTGGATTGTCTGGTCCAGATCGCCGTCATAAAGATGGAATATTGCTGAGTGTGGCGTTCAACAAACATATAAGATCACTCTCATTCTTTCCCAAAACTTGAAGCAAAAATATAACACTGATTTCATTACCGCCTAACGAATATATTGATCCCTTTTCAGCCCCCGAGATTAAAGAATGCAGTGTCTGCAAGAACCAACAAAGACAGACTCCGGCAACATCATGGTGCTTCTCTTGTGTTTCAGCCTTCTGTGGTGGGTGCCTGACCATGCATGGAGCGATGCCGTTATCACGTGACCATGAAGTAGTCGTTTTATCTGAGTCCACCAAATACAAAATGGTACCAAAACGTCCATTCATGTGCAAACTACACGTCAGCAAACGGATCGAGCTCTTCTGTAAAGACTGCAAGGTTGCAATATGTACGATATGCTGTAGTATAAATCACAGGAAATGTCACGACGTTGACACCATTGAGAACATGACCCCGCAAGTCAAGAAACAGCTAACCAAACAGAACCAGGAACTAAATGTCAGAATTGGAAATACTGAACATGGTATATCTGTCAGGAGAAGGCATGTTGACGACTTCAGAAACACGGTAGAAGAAGTTAAAAGTCAAATCAGAAGTGCACGAGCGAAGGTGGTGGCGATTATTGTGAAGAAAGAAAAACAACTTTTAGACGATGTTGATCAGTCTTCTACCACGCAATTACAACAAATTCAAGCGGATATAAAATCCCAGGAGATTGAACTACAGAAGTACCAGCAGCAGTATAAGTTCACAGCCAATGCTGTGACGTCCAACTGTGAGATGGACATGTATGCTGTCTATGAGTCGGTGGATGAGGCGTCTCCAGACAACAGAGACACGGACAACACACCAGGAAGAGTTGTATTCACACACGACATAGACAAGCTGAGTAAAGCTGTTCATGAACTACAGCTGGGAGAGGTTAAACTCGTCCACGACGTGTGTGACCGTGAATCTACCCCTACTCTGCATCAAGTTATTGACTGTAAGACAGAGGATGACCCGATATATTCCGTTCTCCGTGACGTGTCAGTGTTAACTGTCGATGGTGTACACGTTGTTGTGGTTACAGATTTAGGAAAGGAGAGACTTAACACATATTACACACACGCCATGCATAGTCCCAAATACATACAGCTTTCTAACGGACCTTCGCACATAACACAGTTAGCAAACTGTCGGGTAGCTGTTAGTGTTCCAGCCAGTATGGAAATAGTTATTGTGAAGGTTTACCCAGAGCCTGTATTACTGTCAACTATCAAAACAAGCAACAAATACTACGGTCTAGCCTATCTGAGCCCTTCATTGTTAGTGGCTGGTGGAATAAGGAGGACTGACATACTGGACATGACAGGGAAGGTGCTCAAATCTATCAAGACTGGCCTGGTATCTAGTCCTGACTATATTCATGTCACCAGCAATCGAAACCTGATAGTCAGTGAAAGACTAGAACAATCCCTTGTATGTGTGACCAGTGAAGGAGACGATATTTTCACCTACACTCCCACAGGGGACAGAGCTCTGAACTATCCTCAAGGTATCACCACAACCAGCACAGGAGACATCCTGCTTGTAGACAGATACAGGGTGATTCAGCTGACAGAGTCGGGGCAGTTTGTCAGAGATGTTCTCACAGCACAGGATGGTGTTGATTACCCTCACGGAATATGTCTGGACAGAGACGGCCTGTTGTACGTAACATGTGTGAACTGTGTAAAAATATTCAAATTTTAAATATATTAATTTTGACTGAGTCACTTAATGAGTGAGTATGGTTTTATGCCGCCTTGAGCAATATTCCAGCGATATCACGGAAGGGGGACACCAGAAAATAGCTCCACACTATTAACCCATGTGAGAATCGAACCCAGGTCTTCGGAATGACAAGCTTACACTCAAACCACTGGGCTACCCCCTTGTCCTTGAAGTGTTTTATTAATTTTGTGAGTTGTTTTGGAATAGTCCTTATCAGAAGAATACTGTGTTATAATGAAGTTTAAAATTTGTTTTTGTGTAGTGATGGATGTTATGGTGTTAATATATTTGAAATGTAATATAGTATTAATGGAAAACTGTGAGATATGTCCTGATGTCGCTTCTGGAGGGGTAATGTGTCCCAGTAGTCTCAATAAGATGCACCACGACCCCTTCTCAAGGGATAGAGGGTCACCCGGAGAGCGGAAGGTTCAGGATTCGATCCCCGGCCACTCCATACCAAAAGACGTTAAAATATGGTACTTGTTGTTACCCTGCTGATGCTCGGAATTAAGGGCTAAAGCAAAGACTGGTCGAATTGGAGTCAGTATACTGTGTCTGAGTAGGTTAATCGTGTTAAACTGTGATATATCAGAGGGCTAGCACATTAAAATCGGCATTAGTCCGGACAAGTACAATCAACCACTCACACACTAACACTAACACTAATGCGCGTCTATGCACGTCGCTATGTAGGTGCAATTGCCTTCAACGCGGCGTCAAACCCCTTTTCACCACACCTCACCTCACCTCATATAGACAGTTACTTATTTCCAAATATACAGACCAACGGGCATCCTTATATCCGTCGAGCACACACAACATTCCATTTGTAATGTCATGTCTTGGGATGTGTGTGTTTAAAGATACGCTCGTGTAATCAGGTGCAACTGTGTGTGCGTGGGGGTGTGGATGTGAGTGTGGCTCCGTGTTTGGATCCTAAATGTTTTAAGACAAAACACAGGTGAAGTGATTATCTGCCAACAAGATTCATGCAGTAACCGTACATGCCGCCTCCAGTGCTTCGGCAAACCATCGCGCCACAACAGTGTCTGCCATTGTTTCCCCCAGGGTATCCACCCCCGGGGTAACCAGGGTAACTGCCTCCGGGGTAACCGCCGTTCATTATTCTAGATATACATGAGCTTCCTGGTGGAGCGCACTTAAAAATAAAGATTTGTTTTCAAGTATTTGCCATCATGAATATAAGACACAATTTATCGACATTTACAAATGAAAATTAATATTATTCACGTTGAAAAGCTTCCTATGTCCGTGAAAACATGAATTGTGCTTCCCAAAACTTCATTTATGTCATACAATTTGCAGGACGCAGAGACGAATGTTCTATGTTCTATATATTTATATATCTTATAGTGTCGTCAGGAATACGGGAGGCACGGGTTACCCAGTCGCATTAAGCGCCGTATTACACTGTGCATATGATCGTGGTTAGAATCCTGTTCGTTCCGATTATGTTTCAAGGTTTGTCAGCTCGTGGGTTTAACCAAATGTGTCAACATCTGAGACGTGCATAACTTCGGGTACCCCCCCCCCCCCATTGAGCTGACACGTAATGATATGACTGACTGCTGACAGCGGCGTTTATCCCTTCTCACTCAGTCACTCAGTCACGAAATACTGCAGATATAATAGTATCATATTTATGCCGCCATGTCATTATCTCTTACCCCCATCTGAGCAGATGCCCCAGCCAGCAAAGCCACGAGGACAAGAACAGTCAGTGTCATCATGGCTGTGGAGAGAAAAACAATGATAAACGGAGGAATAAAATAACATAATAAAAACTGTTTATATTATTGACTAATATAGAGTGATGTCTGTTTCTTTAATGTTTATCGCACACTCAGAAGTATTTCAGCAATATTCCAGCTACGGCGGCCTGTAAATATAAACGTCTGGAACATACAAACCGGTGGTTGATGTTGTGAGCAACGTTCCACGATTTCAGGGTATGATGACACGCATTCAAGCAAGCCAGAAAACCTGAGTAAGTGAGTTATGTTTTAACATGGTATTTTATGACTAAAGAGAGGGAAGAATACTTACCGTTATGATATTGTAGTTTACCGTTCTAGATAATGCCCATGTGCTAGCCCAGGAACTCTTTTATACGAAGCGCTATCTGGCCTCCGTGTCAACCTATTAGATAATGTCAATGTTCCTGACATTATATATCACTTGTTGACAGTAGGAAGATGCTATCTACTGCGATTCCTCTCAGATTCATGCCAGATGGTGTCGACCAATCATCTTATCTGACCTATGGTCACATATGTATAACTCGAAACTGAAATGGAATGAAACGAATGTCGTCAACGTGTAACAATAACAATACGTGAAAATCGTGAAAACAAATGTAAAATTGACAGTGTGATAATATGAAATTTGTACATGTACATGACTTGTATGTATTTGATGTTGTGACATATTTACGTAAATGTATCACTTGCACCATTTTCAGCAATCACACAAGCATTAATTCACAGCGGAAATGTCCCGATGACTGACCCCCACGGCATGAAGGTAGTGAGTGAATGTTATTCAACGCCGCAGTCACCAATTTTCCAGATCGATGCTCATGATATCAATCACTGGATTGTCTGGTCCAGACTCGATTATTTACAGACCGCCGTCATATAGCTGGAATATTGGAGTGCGGCGTTAAACAACTAACCAACCAACCAGATCTACCACGACAGCCGGTAAATAATTGAGTCAGGGGTAGGCAAACAAGTGGATGATATCATGGGCAACGAACCGACATACAATCCTCCAGGGGGGCACACTGGTGCCCTCAAATCTCATTCTTGTCGCCTCTTACAGGCATGGATTGATGGAGACACGTAAGAACGCACGTACATACATACACACAAGGTTCTGAGCGTATACACGAAGCATGTTTAGCACACCCATAGCATAATCGGGGCGAACCGGGATTCGAATCCACAATCACAGGTTTCTGGCGTGTCCAAGGGACGCAACTCTGCACAGCGAATCGCGGCGCCTTTGACGACTGGGCCACTCGTGCCCCCCATGCTTACAGGGTGCATCTGAAACAAATACATAACTAGGCAGCATATCTCTGCGGGCATCAAAGTGACCAGGAATTCTCTGTTCATGAAAATGTACAAAACTAGCTACCACGCTGTCATCAAGTATCTCCAGCTGAAAGTGCTGACTGCGGGCATGTTGACAACTTCAGGGGATGTTTTCTGCTGTAGAGGACTAAAAGTCAGGATGAGGAGGACGCCTTCTGCACCGGTGGGATCCAGGAACTCCGGCATCTTTGGCAGAAGGATTGTGTTGAAAAATATGGTAGAAACAAGTCCATCAAAACACACTGTCATAAGTCCTGCTCAGAATTTTTTCAGGCACCCCTTGTACTATCGTATCACACTCACACACAAACACTGACACAGAAAGTATATGAAGAACTCTTAAAATACTCGTTTGCTCTGACGGTTAGTGGTGAAGGATCGCTCGGTGCAGATTATTTGCAGCTACACGAGTACTGTGGCTGGAATAAAATATATTACGCCACAGAGGGCATGCGACGTGTCAACACAATATACTCAAGGATCTCCACGTCAAACCTAACCACCAACAACTAGTCTCGTACCCAGACACAACACCGACCCATCCACCCCTGTCCATACTCAAACTCAACCACCACTCTCACAACACTGACCCCAGACCCAAACCCCAAACCCCAAACCCCAAACCCCAGACCCGTGACCCAATTAACTGACGAAGACTCGTACCAACACATAAAAACACCCCCGCTCCCACAACACAGCCCCATCCACACCAATACCCGTACCCAAACCCAACCACCACCACTCCCACAACACTAACCCCGCACCCCGCACCCCGCACCCCGCACCCAGCAACCCGCAACACGCACCCCACAACTCACAACACCAGACCCAAGACCCAAGACCCGAAAACCCCAAACCCCAGAAGCCTGACCCCAGATCCCATCCCCAACCACACCAGAAACGTACCAACACACAACCACCACCACTCTCACAACACCGACCCCACTTCCATCAACCCCAGAATCGAACCCACACACCATCACCACTCCCACAACACCGACCCAGACCCAACAAACCCAGAATCGAACCCACACGCCATCACCACTCCCACAACACAGACCCAGACCCAACAACCCCAGAATCGAACCCACACGTCATCACCACTCCCACAACACCGTCTCTAGACCTCAAACCAAACAACCACCACTTCCACAACACCGATCCTGCCCCGACCACCGAAGATGCGTTTCTTGTTAGTTTCTTGTTCAAAGCCGCATTCAGCAATATTCCAGATAAAAGACCATGGTCTGTAAATAATCGAACCTAGGCCAGACAATCAAATGATTGACATCATGAGCATCGATCTATACGCAATTTGGATACGAGGACATGGATGAACCGAGTCACAGAGCCTAACCACCCGATCCCGTTATAGTCGACAAGCAAGGGTTGCTGAAGATCAATTCTTACCCGGATCTTCACGGGCCTCGTAGCCAGACCCAAACAACACCGCGCCCAACAATACATATGCACAAGGTTTTCGTTTATAAAAGGATATTTCACATATTTGCATACTGTCTTAAAATACTGTGCATATACAGAACGAGAACGAAATCAACAAAAAACATACAACACAAAAAGCTCTCGAATTATGTCTGCTGTGCTCTAAAAATTATTTCATCATTTCAGTACACTTGTTTATCACATAGGCTGCGGGGCACGACACGTTAGGATGCACATTTATATAAAATAAATCAAAGATATTTCAATATCCACGTTGTCAGGGGTTCTTAAACCAAAGTGGGTATAACAATAGACAGAGGAGGTTGTTTGCATTAACGCTGTGATGTTTGTACAGCACGCGATGGCCTCACGTCATTCTCGAAATCAAGTATTCATGGTTTTAGAAAATTCTTGGCTTTCATATCTTTTATTCACATGTGATGGGAATATCACAGGTGATATGAGTACTGTTGTAAACGTACATAGAATTCTCTTCTCGTGTCTATCGCCTATTCACTCCGTACACTAACAGCTTTTGTGAATTAATTTGGTTCATGAATATGTATTATATTTTAAAGAACCTCTCGATATCGCCCACAGTACCCGCGCGTCAGAAATAATGGATATTTTGTTTGTTGTTATTTACACACCTGTGTTTGTGTGTTTTTACCAAAGTGGTGTGCACGACTCGAATCACTTTAGTCACCTTAGTTTGTTAGCAAATATTCCAGCTATATGTCGGCGGTTTGTAAATAATCGAGTCTGGAGCAGACTATCCAGTGATTGATATCATAAGCATCGATCCACGCAATTGGGATACGATGACATGTATACACCAAGTCAGCGAGCCTGACCACCTGGTCCCGTTAGGCGCCTCTTACGACATGCATAGTCGCCTCTTACAATCATGGGTTGCTGAAAACCTATTCTTGGCCGGATCTTCCCGACTTTTAGACACAATAAGCTCACCTGCTACAACATGACTGAAATACTTTTTTTTAAAAGCATAAAATCGCACTCCATCCCTGAAAAATATACGAATGTACCAGTGTATCTAGAAGTGTGATTTCATTCAGCCTAAATATCTTGCTAATTTACGTTCATGAACAAAACCACAAATACCCTGGCACATTGTAAACATATCTGGTCAGTGGCCTATCGTTGGTGTCTGTTATAAAAGCGATTTCACCACTATAGCAGCAGCATTTGTTTGTTGTTGTAGCTGTTGTTGTTGTTGTTTTACGCCGCACTCCTGCTACATGACGGCCGATAAGGAAATCGAATCTGGACCAGACAATCCAGTGAAGGATATTATGATCAACGTCCTATTTCATCGCTGGGACCGGTGACGACCTCTCAACCATTCCACAAGCCTGACCTCAAGGGGCGAGCATAGTTTGATGGGAAAAACATATGAAAGCGGGATGCACATCTACCACGCCGCATTTCCCTATGCAGAGGTGCGTCCTTTAGGCGTGCCAGAAACCTGTGAACGTGCCACCATCGCCTTAACATTTTAAAATCCTTCACGTACTACCATCGCTTTTACTGTTAACACTCGTCACGTACTACCATCGCCATCACATATTAAAATTCTTCACGTACTACCACAGCCTAAACATGTTAACATTCGTCACGTACTATCATCGCCTTCACATGTTAACATTCGTCACGTGCTAACATCACCTTAACATGTTAACATTTGTCACGTACTAACATCACCTTAACATGTTAACATTCGTCACGTACTACCATCGCCTTAACAGTCATGTAAGGGGCGGTCGGGAAGCCTGGTGGTTAAAGCATTTGCACAGGTTCGATTCCCGACATGGGTACAATGTGTGAAGCCCATTTCTTGTGTCCCCCACCGTGATATTGCTGGAATATTGCCAAAAGCGATGTAAAACCAAACTCACTCACTCACTTAACATGTTAACATTCGTCATGATGATCACGTCTAACCATCGCCTTAACATGTTAACATTCGTCATGTACTACCATCGCCTTCACTGTTAACATTCTTCAGGCACTACCATCGTCTGAACATGTTAACATTCGTCACGTAGTTGCATAGCCTAAACATGTTAACATTTGTCACGTAGTAGCATCGCCTTAACATGTTAACATTCGTTACGTACTATCATCGCCTTCACATGTTAACATTCGTCACGTACTGACATCACCTTAACATGTTAACATTCGTTACGTACTATCATCGCCTTCACATGTTAACATTCGTCACGTACTGACATCACCTTAACATGTTAACATTCGTCACGTACTAACATTACCTTAACGTGTTAACATTCGTCACGAACTACCATCGAGTTAACATGTTAGGGGCGGTCGGGAAGCCTGGTGGTTAAAGCACATGGGTACAATGTGTGAAGCCCATTTCTTGTGTCCCCCACCGTGATATTGCTGGAATATTGCCAAAAGCGATGTAAAACCAAACTCACTCACTTACTTAACATGTTAACATTCGTCATGATGATCACGTATAACCATCGCCTTAACATGTTAACATTCGTCACGTACTACCATCGCCTTCACTGTTAACATTCGTCAGACACTACCATCGTCTGAACATGTTAACATTCGTCACGTACTACCATCGCCTTCACATGTAAACATTCGTCACGTACTGACATCACCTTAACATGTTAACATTCGTTACGTACTACCGTCGCCTTAACATGTTTACATTCGTCAATACTACCATCGCCTTCACTGTTAACATTTGTCACGTACTAACATCACCTTAAAATGTTAACATTCATCACGTACTACCGTCGCCTTAACATGTTTACATTCGTCAATACT